AACCGGCCCGGCCCGCTACTAGGGATGGACTCGGGCCGAGCGGTCCGGCCCGGAACCGGCCCGGCCCGGTTACTCTTTGGCCCGGCCCGGCCCGGCCCGGTAGGAATGCGGTTCGGGCCCGGGCCCTAGGATGGGTGAATCGGCCCGGCCGGTTCGGGCCAAATTAATTTTTTTTTTTGAATTTTTTTTTAAGTTTTTGGGTTGGGCTGGGTATTTTGGGCCATTTGAGGTGGTTTGGGGGTGAGGGGGGAGGGTTGGGGGTTAATTAGGAAAAGCCAAAAAAAAAAAAATAGAACCGAGGCCCGGCCCGGACCCGGGATTACCGCGTACCGGATCTGGGCCTCCCATTCCTGAAACGAGGCCCGGCCAGGCTCAAGCCTGAACCGGAACCGGTCCACCCCTACCCGCTACTGTGCGGGACCGGACCGGCCCGGTTGACTGGTCCCGGTACTAGGTCTAGGCCCGACCCAGAGGGTAGACGGGGGGCGGGTCTGGGAATTCCCAAAAGCTGAACCGGCCGGTTCGGGCCTAACGGCTATAATTTTAAAAAAAAATCAAAAAGGCCTATAGCCAATGGAGAAAAACCCCCAAATGGCTATATAGCCGTTGGGGTGCCAGCAAGGGGGTCCTGGGGGTTTGGGGGGTGGGGGTACAAAAAATTCTATAAATACACCTACTTTCTAACATTTTTCTACACTCCTCTTATCTTCCTACTCTCTATCCTTAATCATCTCCATCTTCATCTTCTAAAATTCTCTTATTCTCTATACATCTATTTTACTATTTATACAATTATATTATCCACTTATATATTAATTATCTACTTATAAATACATATATTATAGTACTTATATTTAATATGTACTTAATCGGAAAAGATCAGGTCCAGCCCTCCCCGGTCCAGCCGCCGTCCGAACTCCGCCGTTTGGGGTGATTCCCGGTGGAATTTTTTGATGAAAATTTTTGAGCATGTTCTTCATCAAGTCTAGTTTGTCCATACCAAATTTCAGCTCAAAATTCGATCGGGAAGACATTCAAATCATTTTTTGAAGTTGATTGCATTTTTATATGTACATTTTGACGCAGTCAACTTCAAAAAATGATTTGAATGCCTCCCCGATCGAATTTTGAGCTGAAATCTGGTATGGACAAACTAGACTTGATGAGGAACATGCTCAAAAAAATTCATCAAAAAATTCCACCGGGAACCGCCTCAAACGCCCGAGTTCGGACGGCGCCTCCCGTCCCTCCGGCTGGACCTAATCACTCCTCTGTACTTAATATATACTTAATATCTACCTATTATATACTTATTATATACTTGTTATTTACTTATTTACTTGTATTACATATAATTTTATATTAACTATATATATATTTATAGATTAAAGTATTAAATATAACTGTACTACTCATATATACTTATTATATACTTGTTATTTACTTATATTACATATAATTAATATATTAACTATATATATATTTATAGATGAAAGTATTAAATATAACTGTACTATCACACTATAGTAGTATACTTATATATTGTATACTATACATAATATATTATATATTAGTTACACTTGTTAGATTGAAGCATTGTTCTAAAAGGCTCCGCAAAAGCGGGCCTAGGCCCAGGGCGTGACTAAAACGCCCCGCTTACCCAGTTATGTGACCAAAGGCGGCCTGGGCTATTATAATATTTTAATTGTAATTTTTAACTATATTCGAATATTGAGAAAGGCTGTAGAGCAGCGAAGTAGATGCTGTTCGCCTTTGCGTTTCATTCCGAAGGACTGTCTCTATATATAAGGTGTTGAAATGAGGAATTTTCCCTCTCGTTCCGGTGTGGGACGCACTTATGCAAAGTAAAATAAACAAACCAACCTCCGTGTCATGGAATTAGAAAGGACTCCAGTTTGGCAAGACAAATGATACATACTTTTTTTTTGCTCGAAGAAGGCTTAAAAATTGTTAAGTTCTAATAGGAAGTGGAGTAAAAACTACAAATGGCCTCAGGCCACAATTAACCCTTTTACATATAATTTTATTATAAAACTAAGAGGCAGTTTAGCAACACTGCTTTTCGGCTTATTAGGTTTATCAGCTAACTTTTTCTCCAAACACGTAACTTATGCTTTCGCTCGCTGAATTGTGTAATAAGCAGAAAAAGTAAGGCTGCAGTTACTTTTCTGGCTATATTGGTTGAAATTACTGTAGATTAGGCCTGGACTCGGGCCGGGCGGCCCGACCCGGAACCGGCCCGGCCCGGCCACTGTAGCAACCGGCCCGGCCCGGTCCACCGGCGGTTCGGGTCGAACCGGCCCGGTGGTTCCCGGTTCCGGGCCCGGGCCTTCCATATGGTGAACCGGCCCGGCCGGTTCGGGCCCGGTCCGGGCCGGAATTAATTTTTTTTTTTTTTTTGAAAATTTTTTATGTTTTGGGTTAGATTAGGTATTTTGGTCCATTTGAGATGGTTTGGGGTGGTTTGGGGTTGAGAAAGAGGGGTAGGGGATTAAATAAAGAAGCCAAAAAAAAAAAATTAATAGGGCGGGTGGCCCGGCCCGGTCTGGCCCGGAACCGGCCAACCCCGGTTCGGGCTCGGGCCTATATATACTGAACCGAGGCCCGGCCGGGCCCAGGCCCGAGGCCCGAACCGGCCCGGTTCAGTCCACCCCTACTGTAGATGATCCTTTTTACTATTTTTACATATAACTTTTCTTTATTTAATTATTAAAATATATTTAAAAATAATTTTTTCTTAAATGTAACCACTTCAGCCAGAACTTCATAAATTTCAGCAGAATCCGCCAAAACAGTCGATTTGCGTGCTACCAATCGGGCTCTAATACGTAGTAGAATACCAAAGGGAGAGTAACACATGATGAAATATTTCTATTGTAATCAAATCGTGCTAAAATAGACATGGAGTCGCACGGTAATGGATTGCAAATAGTTTAAAATTGTTGTCTGGCCTATTGTAGGCGAAGAGATTTCCATATTAAAAGTATCTGGTTAGCTACCATGACTCCATGAGAATCTTAGTACCACGTACATACACTAATTTAATTAGTAAACTCCAACACTTTTCACCTGATAAACCATTAACTCAAAGTGACATTTTATTTGTTGTACACATTAATATAGCACGCTCTAGGTTCGAAAAACTAAAGAAAACCTGATATGGAGTAATCATGGACCCGGTTCGGGCCGCCCGGCCCGGGGCCGGCCCGGGCCGCTACTGTGCGGGCCCGGAACCGGCCCGGTTCTCGGGTCCGGGTCGGCCCTAGGCCCGGTGGGGGGGGGGCGGGTCCGGGCTCGGGCCTTGTATTTGGCGAACCGGCCCGGCTGGGTCGGGCCCGGGTCTGGGCCGAATTGAATTTTTTTTCATTTTTGGAGTTCCACCCGGGTTGGCCTTGATGGTTAGGAGGGGTTTGGGGGGGTTAGGAAAGCAAAAAAAAAAAAGACCAAACCGGAGGCCTGGCTCGGCCTGGACCGGACCGGTGGCTACCCGGGCCGGTCCCGGGCCTTCCTTCCCAAAAAAAGCCCGACCGGGCTTGGCCCGGAACCCGCCCGGCCCGGGTCCATGACTAATATGGAGCTCTAGGATTGTACCAGAAATCATGGAAATCATATTACCGAGAAAAAATGCACAGCCCCAATAAAAAAGAGAGTAAAAAGGTACTCTAATATTAATGTGTGAACGAGGTATATACATGCCTCCCTTCTAGGTTATGCGAAAGGCCATGATGGAAGGGGAGATGGATCCTGGATTAATTTAACCATAAACTAAGCCAAACCAACGGAGAATGGATGGAAACGGAAATGGTTAATAAGTACTCAAAGGGTCAAAGCTCACTTGACGGAGACATGACGGAGAAAGCAGGTCAATTCCAAAAAATACAAATATCTGAACATAGTGTAGAACTCCATTAAGCCAACTCCATTAAGCAACACATTTTTCATACCCAAAATAGCCTCACCCTCATTGACATTTATAATCTTTTAAGATTTAAGATTAATTTCCATATTCATTTCCTATACTCAACACGTATTGTTTAATGCCCACAAACCCTAATTTCCTTTTTTGTAAGCTGAACAAAAAATTACTGGCTTGTCAATTAACGGCTGCACTACGGATCCCAAATTTTAATCTCCGCTGCCCATAATCAATCTCCATGATTTTCTTGGCATATCAAGCTTTATGGAATCGATTTCTAGTCCGCCGAAATAACATTCCACTAAACAGCAACTCAGGTGTGGCGATATTCGAATGAAAAGCCAATCCCCTTTCTATCTTTATTAATGATATGATGAGTTAAAATCAAAACAGAATTACTTTTCAGTCGAAATTCTATCAAAACACATGCAACGAATTAGCTTCTCCAGCGATAACAATGGCGCAATCAATGATGCGGCCTAGCAATGGAGCGCAGTGCAATAAACCTTCAATCGGCTATACTGGATAGCGGCAGACGGCAGGCTATGGGGCGGTGGCGCGCGTCAGGGTCATGTGGCTGCCGGGTGGATCTATGGATGTGGGAGAATGGAGGCTAGAGTTGAAGCAAAGAATAGAAGCCTGAGGTTTTATAGATATAACCTAAAAGGTATATTTGTCCACCTAAAATATTTATTTATTTATTATTGCGAATTTTAATTAAATATTACGAAGTATGAATTTTAATATTATTTTGGTAAAAAACAAGTTAGGTCATAGATTGAAAAAGTGAAAAAGTTTTAGTCGGTAATTATCTATTTTTTCACTCTTATTTTCAAATTTCAATTACTAATTAATTAGCTTACATGACAGAAAACTTTTGAAATAATACGGAGTATGATTTTAAATTTGATCGACTTTTCCACTCTGTCCGGCGAATAAAATTTCAAAAAAGTTCAAAAAATTATGCGGTGTTTAATAATTTCATGTTATCACCTACAAGGAAATAGTATGATCGCTTCATGTGTTTTACTTTTATTGCTCCAAGTAAATTAGGAAACTCGTAATTACTTATTAAGATGGAATCAACTAATATTAAGTACGAAATGTCCAAATTAATTTTTATATATATGCACATATAACATTAAACTCGTAATTATATGCACATATTTATTTATTTACATGTAGGGACATTGCCCCGAATATGTCCAACTCAGCCCAAGAACGATGACAAAAGCTACTCTTTCAGGCATAATCCGATGTTTCTGAGTTTCTGACCCAGAGTTCCCAAAACTTATCGTTATCATACACAGCGGATAAGCAAAATACTTTGTAGCTTTCTATTGCAGAAAGCCAGAAATAGTGTTTGTCCTACCCTCTTATAATGCATGCCTAATACCGGAAATCGACCACCGGAAGCTCCCTAGGAAAATCAACCAAGATGTATAAACACACATTCAATTACGTTGTCATCTTATGGAAGCTATTTAGGGTGAAGAGAAAAAGATGAAGCTAAAAAAGTAAAAAGATCAAATCATGACTCCAATAAAAGGACGTGGGTAAATCATCATAACTACATAAGGTTCCTTGACACATTTTTCTTCTTTTCAGTACTGACAAATTTTAAACATCAAAAAAGGAAGATAAATTGATTATGAATAACATTTTAAAAAAGGTCAAAGCAGAGACAATATTACCGTTTTCAAGCAAACAGGACAGTCCAGATGCTTCAGAAGTAGATCAATTGAGAGCAGACTTCAGGATATTGCTAACAAAAACGCATTAAGGTTTAATGCTCTCAATTCGAAGTCACATATTCCAAAATTATAACCATCATATGTACTTGGAACTGCTTGATATATCCGTGAAATAGCATCACAGAAATCATATACAGAATCACTCCTCAAAAGTCCAATAACCCCTTCAGTTTAAAGAACAATCTCATTATCAAAACCTGGAACAGTACTGCACAGTCACCAATGTCAATCTAAGCCTTTATACTCACCAAAGCAACTTTAAAGAAAGGGCAGATTGATTAACAGAGAAGCTTGTATTAGTAATCACGTTCTCCAATCTATTTTTCCAGTAACAGGAATATTGGCTCCAGAGCAATCCCAAGCAATGCAATAAATATTAATAGAAACAAAGATGAGCTACGCTATCAAGTTGTTCCATTTCTTTAGAAAAGCTAGCCATGCTTTATGGTTCATACTGGAAGGTTCAAATGCTTTGAGACCATAAAGATGATAATATTCATCTGTTAGAAAGAATCGTCTTGATTTCTGACTTCTCAAAGTACTTGTCTTAAAGTAACCAACAAATGATAAAACGTCTTCAGGACTCTGCACAGACCATTCATAGAAACCATTTCGACCACTGTCAAAGTATACATCTCCACCAAACATGGCCTTGTAAGGCTCCACATCTTGTAGCAGTTTGCTAGTGACTCGAACACCGAGTTGGGGCAATTCATTCTTCGTAGTGATATCAATGCTACCATTAGCATCAAAAAATCCTCCGAACCAATTTGATTGAGCATCTAATGTGATGGGCACAATTACAGGAATCTCATGCTCTTGACAGACACGATGCAACTGTGCTAGTCGTGCAGATTTACGAATATGGCCATTAATACAATTCATTAATTTAATCATGCCAAGGTGATGAATTAATCTATAGCGATAAGATTTAGCACCGGACCGCATTTTAATACTTCCACCAAGCGTATGTTGGACATATCGTAGTAGTGCTACATCTTCAAGTCCCATAGTAATTTCAAGAGATGTCTTTCCTTTCTTAAGCACCTGAAGACTTCCACTGCCATCAATAATTCCAGCTAGCCATTCACAAAATGATTTCTTATACGGTGTGGCAGGAGTAGTCACTGAGATTTCTACTAGACTGCTCTTAAGTCGTTGATTACCTGCTGGTTGTGTATTAGATCCTCCGATTTGCAAAGGCCAGGGCTTTACAAGAAAACCACACTCAAAAACCTTGTAAAATGGGAAGAGCTCCATGCTAAATTTCTTCATCCTCATCCAAGGAGTTGATACATGAGATTGACTCTACTAATCACAATTGGGTCGTCATGCTCCTTCATGCAAAGTAAAATAAAGTATTATATTATATATATGAAAAGCCACCGACCCTCCCAATTCTTTTTTTCTTTGCTCCTATCTATATTTATATATTTCACTAAATATTTGATCAAAAGATAGTTTAGGATATAATGCAGTAAGTGATCAGAAAAAACTAAACTGTTAGCATAGTTAATACTAGTACCATTTTAAGCTGCGAAATGAAAACTATTACGAACAATTGAACAAAGACACTGGTTCAGATTTAAAAATACACCCACTGAAAGTTAAAATTTATACTAATAGTAAGTAAATGAGAACAAAACATAAGAAAATACTTCTTGTTCAGAAATGACACGTTTATGTAGACAATAATTAAATTAGGTAACTACAATATATTTTGAATTTTGATAAATGTTTATGATGAAAATAATGAGGTCAATGATGATATATGTGATGTTATATGTGTGTTATTTTAATATTTGATGATTAGTCTATCATTTGAGAGTGCTAATTACTTCTAAAAAAATGAGAAGTTTTACCTTGAATGTTAAAGAGACAAGTAAAAAACTTAAGCGGTGACAAAAGGCAGAGGGCATATAATTTATCTAATATATTTATATACTAGTGATTAAATATAAGTTCATGCTAAGAAGCCATTTAAATTAGTGAATGAAGCAAGGTAGTCAAAGTGAAGCGCACTCAAGGCAATAGGGTATTCCCAGCGCCTGAGGCGCAAGGCACAAAAAAGCGCTCGCCTGACTCAGGTGAAGGCGTGAAGTGCACTACTTAGATAAAATCACATTTACTATTCTATAATTACCAAATATGATGTATGTAACATCATATTGAACCAAATGCATAAAAAGCTAGGATTCATCAAAATAAAGTTATGGTTCACAAAAATTAGGATATTTTTTGTTAGCCAAGTAGTTGTGTTTCCAAGCTAGGTCTTTTTTGTAGAGTTTTCACTTTCAGCACCACCTGCAGCACTTGTTCCACCTTCCATATCCTGGAAAAGCACAAAGCTGGAATTATTTACTAATTAATACACTGGAAAACATCTTTGGAAAACCACAAAGTAGAGTACATATATAATATATTTATGGGCCAAACACTCAAATATGACTGCTAAATAATGGAAAAACACAAAGCGGGTTGTGTGTTTATCATGTTCTTTTAGTTTTCCATCTGTGTTTGTCATCACATTACATAAAGCAATCGGTCTCCAATCCCCCATTCTTTCGGGCTTATCTTTCTTCGGAATCAGCACTATATTAGTCATATTCAAATCATACGGGATAGTACCACTTTCAAACATACCTTAGCATAGTTGAACAACCTGGGGACCCACTATGTCCCAAAACTTCTGAAAAAACGCAGGATTCATCCCATCCGCTCCTTGTGCCATATCCGGGTGCATCTCAAAAATGGCCTCCTTGACTTCTTCTGGACTAATTGGCCGAATCAGGTGTGCATTCTGATCAGCCCCGATCTCCTTGAAATTCCCCACATCCGTCCATTGTTGCTGTTATCTGGCGCTTGAAAAAAATTACAAAATAATCCGTGACCACCCCCTCCATCTGTCCCCTATCCGTGATCCATGATCCATCCGCCAGACGAAGACCTTGTATTTTATTCCTTCTTCGTTGTTTCACCGCATTATGAAAAAACCTAGAGTTCATATGTCCTTCCTTCAGCCAGAACTCCTTTGCTCTTTGTTTCCAGTAAAGGTTCTCCTTCTCCATAAGGGAGTAAATAATAGTCCTCAACCTAGAGAATTCAGCGACACTGCTCGCATCTTCTTTTCCCCGGAGCCATGCAAGACGTTTTTTACAGGCCACAATGCGGTTCCGGAACCCTTTCGGCCGTCTACTATCCCAACGGAGCAATTCTTGTCCACAAAATGTAATCCTCTCATCAACGGTCATATGATCTCCTGCATTCCAACTATTAGACACAATAGTTCGACACTCTTCCTCCCTTAACCAAATATTCTCAAATTTGAATCGATGAGGCTTTCTAGTATGTATTGTAGGATTAATATGGATCATTAATGCCATATGATCGCTTGCTGGGGCTTCTACGGAATAGGCCCGAGCGTCCATGAACTGATTCCACCAATCATCATTAACTAAGATTCGATCCAGTTTAGCCTCAACCCAGTAATCTTTTCCTTTACCTCTATCCCATGTCCATTGGTAGCCTTCAAACGGGAAGTCCCTCAGGCCACTACTAAAAACAGCCTCTTGAAACCACGCAGTCTCCAAAGGGGTTGTGGTACCGGACCTTTTTTTCTGAATCATTCAGAATATCATTAAGGAAAAAGGGTCAAATAGACCCATCTACAATTGTGAATAGGTCATCTAAACCCATGTACTAAAAAAACATCAAATAAACCTATTTACTCTTAAAAATGATCAAATGGGTCAGTTTTACCTGAAGTTGACCATCTTCAGCCGGTTACTTATTATTTATGATATTTTATATTTTTCTTTTTCTTTCTTTTTATTTACTTTTGTTTCTATATCTTCCTGGTGGGTTAGTCCTGCGCCTTATGACCTTGTTCCTCTTCGCCTTCAAAACTCTTCATCCTTTACATTCTTTTCTTACACTTGTTTCATTCTTTTTCTCTTTACTTATCATTTCTCCTTTTTCTTAAATTTATATATGAATCAACTTGAATGGTAGCAGACTTGGAGTACATCAAGCTCTGGCCACCATTTTACACTGCCAACGGACAACAACTCACTTAATCGATGGACAGATCTTGAAGACTGAAGAGGGAAGCTGGACGGACGGACCAGAAAGAAAGAGAGATGTCTCTGTCTCGAATTGAAGACATGGAGCAGTCTAACGACACCGTTCTTGGAGAGTTGGAGTCATCCGAGAGAAGCGGGTCTTCTCTTCTTTTTGTGCTACGCGGCGCCTGGTTGCCGAAGAAGGGAGGAGCGAAATTCTCCGTTCAATATCGGAATCGCTTGGGAAGTACTCCCTGTCGGTGATGAAGACAGGGGAGTCCCTTCTGCCTAACTCGCCGATCTTGAAGAGGGAAGCAGGAATACAGATTACAGACCAGAAAGAAAAAAGAGTTGAGAAAGAAAAGAGAAAAACATTACTTCGTATAAATTAGCAATTCACCGGCTATAAGGGGTTCTCTTCCGGTAAATGGACTGATTCTATCAATTTTTCAGAGGACATGGGTTTATACGATTCTTTTTTTAGTACATGGGTTTGGATGACCGATGTACAATTGTAGATGGGTCTATTTGACCCTTTTTCCTATCATTAAAGTCACCAAGTATAAGCCAAGGTAAAGAGTGTTGTTCTGCAAGATCTCCCAGCATCTGCCATGCTTCCTGCCTCTTTTGTTTTAAAAAGATTAAAGATATTACTCTGTTTGACCCAACTAGAGTAAAACATGGCTGTTAACAAAGGGCTCAGTATAACATGTGTTTCAAAGTTGATAACCACCTTTTACAACACAAAAGATGACAAACACAGATGGAAAACTAAAAGAACATGATAAACACACAACCAACTTTGTGTTTTTCCATTATTTGGCAGTCATATTTGAGTGTTTAGCCCATAAATATATTATATATGTACTCTACTTTGTGGTTTTCCAAAGATGTTTTCCAGTGTATTAATTAATAAATAATTCCAGATTTGTGCTTTTCCAGAATATGGAAGGTGGAACAAGTGCTGCAGGTGGTGCTGAAAGTGAAAACTCTACAAAAAAGACCCAGCTTGGAAACACAACTACTTGGCTAACAAAAAATATCCTAATTTTTGTGAATCATGACTTTATTTTGATGCATCCTAACTTTTTTATGTATTTGGTTCAATATGATGTTACATAATTTGGTAATTATAGAATAGTAAATGTGATTTTATCTAAGTAGTGCGCTTCACCTGAGTCAGGCGAGCGCTTTTTTGCGCCGGCGCTGGGAATACCCTATCGCCTTGAGTGCGCCTCATGACTTTGACTACCTTGCTTCATTCACTAATTTAAATGGCTTCTTAGCCTAAACTTATATTTAATCACTAGTATATAAATATATTAGATAAATTATATGTCCTCTGCCTTTCGTCACCGCTTAAGTTTTTTACTTGTCTCTTTAACATTCAAGGTAAAACTTGTCATTTCTTTAGAAGTAATTAGCACTCTCAAATGATAGACTAATCATCAAATATTAAAATAACACACATATAACATCACATATATCATCATTGACCTCATTATTTTCATCACCAATACAACATCACCATTAGGGTCCGTTTGGTTCGAGGGATGTCAGATTACCATGGGGATGTCAGATTACTGGGTATGTTAGATTGATGGGAATGTATTCAATTTGTATCTCATTTGTGTTTGGTTAAGATCAAAGGAATGTGATATTATTTTGTTTGGTTGAATGATATTTTATATTGCTAATTTGGTGAATTACTTCAATGCCCTTCAAATATTTTCTATTAACACAACAAACTTATTACAACCTACATTTAGAGTAATTTAAATTAAAAATGAAATATCTCATTAATAAATAAAATCAAAATTTATTGAATAATTTTAAAGAAAAGTATGTTTAATTGGAAAAAGTAAAGATTAGTGAACATTGGTAAATAATTATGGAGATAATTTAGAAGAAGAATGATACAATGTAAAAAGAAAGAATGGAGAAAGCATATTTTAGTGATTTCTTTATTTTTCCATCCCAGACTTTTTTTAGTGCAAAGCTCAGTGAAGATAATATCAGTGCAAAGCTGAGTGACGATTTTTTTTTTGAAGAAGTGGTTGGAGAAGAGATCCTAGTATGTTTCTTCTAATTTAATGAGCAAGGGTAATCTTAGAAGAAAACATATAACTAAGAGGGAATGTAGGATAACCTAAGAGAGGGTTGGGTTTGACATTACGAGCCATCTCATTCCTTTATTCTCTTTTAAGGAATGTGACATTCCCGAGAAAAATTTAAGCACGCGAACCAAACACGGATATCTCTTATTCCGGGTATCAGATTCCGGCCTGCATGAAGTATTACCTTGAACCAAACGTACACTTAGATTCATGGATGACCCAGGACCCTTTTTGTCATAATATTTTCTATTGAGACTTTCTTGTCCTCCGCATGTGCTCAGGGATTACAAATTTAAAAACCACTTCGAAAAATCATTCAATCCTGAGAATTATTGAATTTTATACCAGTTTTGTGATCATATACTATATCATGAATATGAATTTGAACAAGTACAGAATAAAAGAAAATGCACAAAGATAAGATGGAGATGAGGACATGTAACATCACCTACATAGGATGACATGTAACCAATGAGTTTGAGGAAGTGGGAAACAAAGCATGCTGCAAATAAAAGACAAATCAGTTAGTCAAAGATATTAAGTTTTAGACTTAAAAGAACTAAATTTAGTAGCTTTCACCTCATTTGGACCTAAAGAAAACAATTTTTTCATTGGAGTGAAATGTTTATAAAAAATAATGGCGTAAATGCCACCAAATGACTACTTTTATAGCATTACTGTAAACATTACCATGCCACTATAGACTTGCCATGAACAGGTTAAACATCTACCCCGAGTGTCTCCACTTCACTGTGTATCTGAAACTTAGTCATATGGCAAAGTCTGAAAAAATCAGTAGGGAGAGCCATTTGAGAGAATAAAATGAGTCTATTATATTGTATAAAAGAAAGTTGTTAATCTACATCTAAACTTACTCATACAGCAGCAGTCTGTAAAAGGATATTAGTTACGAGTGGAGGCACCACTGCACTGAAATCTTTAAGACACGGGTGAGTAATGAAGCATGTGCATGTGGAATACTCAAAGCAATGCAAAATTTTGCGGGGGGTAAACATTTTTTGTGCAAAACATTGCTTTCAAATGTAAAACTAGAAAGCAATAAACTGCATGAGTAAACATTTTTAGCATAATGTTTCTTTGCACTGTGATTAAGAGAAAACGGAGCTAAAATTACATCGATGAGTTCTTGACAGAAAACCAAAAAGCAGAATCTGCTTGAGTTAACATTTTTGGGCATATGAAAAGCTGCCATGTGATTAAGTTTAAACATAGATAAACTACATCTAAAATCAGGTTAGTAGGTTTCAAGTATCAACTGTTTCTTTTATATTTTCTATAAGAGAATATGAACCATAACCTAGCAAAAATGAAAAATGTAATTCTAGCAAAAAAAAATTGACTACAATATAGAGTGATCCCAAAGAAATGCCAAAGATAATAACATTTGGATCCATATCTTCTTAAGCAATCATCCAACTTGGACATAAATCAATCTATGGTATAAAGTAAATACTAAATTTTAAATCACACAAGTAATTGTTTAAAAGATTCAGCAAGTTGTTTTCTGTAACTGCCCTACAATAACCCACCGTCCTCTTCTATTTCAATTCCTTAAGGGGTTTCTTTTAAATAGTCATAACAGTTTAATCTGAACCTTTAATTAGTGTATAAACTTATTCAATTTAAGAACATGAATATATCTGTTTGCGCAACCTGTTAGCTTGATTTTGTACAAAGTACGTATAATTGACATCATAAACAAAGAATTGATACAATGATACTAAATCTCTTCTCTTTTACATGGTAAATGAACTAAATAACAATAATAATTACTAAGAAAAAGTAATAATACTAATTTTAAATAATCAAACAAATCCGGATTACCATTAGCACAAACAAGCGTAAATAGAAAAGAAGTTGAACACAACGAGAGTAAATTTATATACGGTGTACTGCTTTAAAAATATTAAATAAAACCCAAATTTCCAAAAAAATTAAACAAATCCGTATAGGCTTAATGGAAAAACATACAGATTACTTGTTAGGAGCTCTGCCATGGCTGATTGCTCCTCATCAGTGATTAATTTCCCGAGACGCTCCTAGCACTTTCTGGCGTGGTGCTCGGTGGATGTTTTGTCTTGCGCTGAAAGGGAGGCGATGAGAGGACGAGGGCGAAGAGAGGAGGGGGCGACGAGAGGACGGGGCGATTGGAAAGCGGAGGCTCTGCGGCTGTGGTAATAGTACGCACTTCGTAAAAGACTTTTCATGTACAGCCGATGGTATTTCGTGACTTTTTATAAAAATTTGTGAGCATGTTCTCCCTGAAGTCTAGTTTGTTCATATCAAATTTCAGCCAGAAATTCAATCGGGAAGACACTCAAATAATTTCTTGAAGTTAACTGGGCAGTTCATACACATATGAACTGGCTAGTTAACTTCAAGAAATTATTTGAGTGCCTTCCCGATTGAATTTCTAGCTGAAATTTAGTATGGATTAATAAACTAGACTTCAGGAAGAACATGCTCAAAAAAATTCATCAAAAAATTCCACCGGGAAGTGCCTGAAATGCCCTCGGCCGGACGGCGGTTCCCGTCAGGCCGGCTGGACACGAAAAGTCCTCTTTGATCCGGTAGGCAAAGTTTTAAAGACGACGATTCCTATCGGAATAGACGTTACAAGCTTTTTTATCAATAAAATTTCAGACTAAGAGAAAATGGATAACCGTCATCCCTCGAACCACATTCGGAATTAATCGTCGTAGCAATATAATTCGCTGAACCATAACCGGGAAACAATAAGCCTAACTCGGTTACCAAATTCCTCTCATCCTCACATCCAAAACCAATGTCTTACGACCCAGAACATTAAACTAGAAACAAAACCAACAACAAACTCTAAAATTAACTAAAAAGAAAATAAAGCAGAAAAACAAGCATCCATCATGCTGCCAGAAGACAAGAACCAGGCCACCGTCATTCGGTCTCACACCTTCAACCAGTATATTCGGCGGGCTTAAGGAACTAAACTCGTCACCTCCCCGTTTTTTGTCCCATCAGTGGCCATGTTATCCTCCTCTTGATCTTCCTCTGACCGGATTTCCCAGAACTTCCTTCTTTTAGAGGCTTTTTCCTTAGGCGTCCCCCCTCCTTGTGTGTAGCTTTGAGCAGATTCTGTCCCTGTCTCCTTCTCTGGACCAGCACCCGATTTGTCAGAGCTTGATGAACCCTCCAGGAACCGAACGTGCCCTCCTGTAGGGCTGGTCTTCACCCCGCTACCTGCTCTAAGATGAGATCCATAATTTTTTTTTCCAAAACCAAACCTTCTTCATAATTTAGGGGACAAAAATTATCTGAGTAGCCAACCATACCACAAATAAAAGCAGAAGGTGGGAAGTCTTTCATATTTAAAATCTACCCATAAACTGTTGCCATCTTTTTTCAAATTTGTCCCCTTCTTTAATGATCTATCCATCTTCATAATAACCCTAACCCGCATGTAAGGTTCTATTTTTTCTTTTCTCTTATGATCATCATATTTGACAAATTCCCCTAAAAATCCCCAACCCGTCTAGCAATGCCAAGGTTTACCAGACTGTAAGGAACATTATGAATCTGGACCCAAAATTTTGCCTCATTCCGGATGATTTTATGTGGTATATCATCAGGCATAATCTCTTTAAGCAAAACTAAACTACGCTCAAATTGCCAAGGGCCCCCATCTAGAATCCTCTTCATATAAAAAAGATTATTAAAAGAAAATAGATACCTCTTTTCTCCAATTTCCCTAACCGTCATACCTTCCTCAGGCCTCCAAAGAGCAGTCATCTTTTCTTTGAGCTCTCCGAACCGAACCTGTCAATCGGTCAGTACCTGCCCAAGCACCGGGAAACCCACCGCCGACTCCTCTGCCGGTACGTCCTCGGCCTCTCCATCATCGAGGTTGATTTATTCCTCTTCATCGCCGATCATCATCTGTTTGTACTTATCAGCCACACTCTCCATGAAAGAAAACGGTCTGCTTTGCCACTACAAGGTCTGACTCTCTCGATTATATAGCCAATCCCCACCACCTTCACTCCCAATCCAAGACCACCACCAACCTAACCAACCAATCACCTATGTCACCCCTTACCGCCAAAGTACCCAATCGCCTAGGCCGCCCCTCACCACCAAAACCAACCAACCAAGACGCGCACTCCGAAGATCAAAGGCAGACAAATAAACGACGTAGGGTTATCGGCCGATAACCCTAGCTCTCGCAAGGATATGTACTCCATATATCATTAAAAACTGTTTCAACTAATGAATAGACGTTACAAGCTTTAAAAAGTCTGTAAAATTGCAGCCATTTTTTACTCTGTAGTTAGTATGGACCGAAAAATATAAATACCAACATGATCGTACTACGATAGGCTACTCAGCGCCTCTTCTCCATTTTATGACAGGCTTCTCAACACCTCGTCCCCATGTTATGACAGGTTTCTCAGTGCCTCCTCTTCGTCTTACGACAAGACCCTCATTATCTCGTCTTCATATCACGACCTGCCCCTAGAGTCAATGCCATGTCCTTATGATTAGGCTCGCCCACTGTCCTCATAGGGTGGCGACCATTATCTTTGATTAAGACCGGTATCGGCCACACCCTCTGCGGATGGCAAACTGTTGCGAACATCTTGTTGTCTCCAACTGAAAAGCTAAAGGAGCCCATAGTTCATGTAGGCCTTTGGCCACATATCTTCGGGTCATCTTTATTTGATCACTCAAATTTTATTATCGGCTTCTTGCTCATACCTCCTGATCAATCCTCTTTATTTGATGACTTAAAGTTTATATAGGCCACTCGACCACATATATGGGTCATCTTTATTGATGACCCGAACATCATATTATGGACGATCGCTTGATCTATCCCCTAGCTAGGCATCTTTATTTGATGTCTAAGACTACTTATCATGCCAAGCTACTCACACACAAAGACCGGTCTCGATCATTCCTCTAGCAGATGGCGACCGTTGCAGCTCCACGCCTCGACCGAAGGGCTCACCCCCTTTTCCTTCATTTTGGGGGCATTCGATGTACACTTATTTCCTCATTAGGCTATTTTTCTCACATGGTTTTTCCTTAATGAGGTTTTTATGAATGAGGCATCTTCCCACTGTGGACAATAGGTGTTGACCCTCAATCCTTACATGGGTCATCACGAGACATGCACTACTCTACTCCTCTTCATCTCACTACACTCGCTCGCCTCATGGAGTGGGGGATTGGAAGAATGGGAGACTTAACGCCTCTGTCAGTTGAAGAAGCACAAAATTCAAATTTCTTTACAAGGATCGCCACTTGCATTGGCTCCTCTATGACATTGAAGATGAGCACATAACTCTAGTCACTTTCGTCTCGAGTACTCTCACCTCAAGGAGTGGAGGACTCCTGATAGAGTATATGGACTTGGACCCCTGGTCTCATGACTATTGGTCCTAGAAAGCACCCACGTACACTCAGTAGATAGGTAGATAATGTTTACATTATTATATACTTTTTTATTCATATATACCCATTAGAATATATTAAATATCATTCATTGATCATTTATGTCCATATATTTTATTGTAACAAGGCCTTTCATACCCAAGCCTAGAAGCCCAACCCACTTTTTCCAATAAATACTCCTTTTTGGAGCCATGTAAGGGGTTGAATTATCATTATATACAATCATTTTATCTCTCTAGCTCCTTTATCTCTTATCAATGAAATAAATGCTACTACTCATGCTAGCATGAGGTAGGTAGCAGTGATGATGTGGAGGGTCATGGGTGGCTAGCCTTTCAACTACCAAATCTTACATATTTGGTGCATTTAATGTGTTGTCCGCCAATATCTCTGTTTACCTGCCAATTATACTGGGTGTTCCAACCAAGGCCTTCATGGTCTTTTATCCAGGTAAGCGCAAAGGTTGAGGTGTCACTCGGGGTCTGCCGAGCGTCTCTGCTGAGGCCCACGTTAACCACTTGGCTTAACGGGACAAGGTATAGGCGACAACCATCGCGTAAGTTTTGATGAGCGACGGGTCGTTACTTTTGCCCCCCTTTTCTCATGGGGTATTGGGTCAACCATGTGTTGGGCCAATTACCCTAACAATATATAAATATATAAATATATAAATATATACATATATGTATACATATATTATAAAATAAAATAAAAAAAATGTATACATATATTATTCATTATATTTAAAATGAAAAAAAAAAAATCGTTAACGTTGTTACCTTTCAGTTATTTGTGAACCGTTAACTAGTTGAGATTATTATTGTGGACTTTTTCAATAGATGTTATTATTGTTAAATATGTAAATGTAGGGATTAGTTGCGTTAATTTCACCATATATATAAGGAATCAAATACAAACACCTTCGCATTTTCAAATGACAAAAGTCAACTTGGTCATCAGATTAGTAGATCTAAGGTTGTACACACAAAGTGCATTTTGGTAATAAAATCCAACTTTTTTGGATGTAGAACTTTGAACGTTAATATGCAACTTTTTATCTCATTGCAGAATAATATATGCACGACTTTGAAAGTTAACATGCAACTCAAATATTATAAAAATGCATTGTACATATATTTGCACAATGAGCACTGTTTGTACTTTATCCGCCCCATATGTGTGTGTGTGTGTTTATAACATTTAGAGCCCGTTTGGTAGCACGAAAATTGGCTGTTTTGGCTGATTCTGCTGAAATTTATGAAGTTCTGGCTGAAGTGGCTGCATTGGCTGATTCTGCTAATTTAAGAAAAAATTATTTATAAAATATATTTTATTAATAAAATAAATAAAAAATTATATGTAAAAATAGCTAAAATGGTCATCTATGGTAACTTCAGGCAATACAGCCAGAAAAGTAACTACAACCTTACTTTTTCTGCTTATTATACAATTCAGCGCGCGAAAACAAAAATTTCGTGTTTGGTGAAAAAGTTGACTGATAAGCCTGATAAGCCGAAAAACAGTGTTGTCAAACGGCCTCTTAGTTGTCCCTTTGGGGACAGGGGACATGCAATAAAATATACGTATATATCAATTAGTTAAAAAGTCCACAATAATCAATAATTGTATAACTTCATAAGAATAATTGAATATGCGAATACACTTAAACTTAAACTTGTGTAGACTTTGAAAATCTAGATTCAACAGCCCTAAGATTTTAAAATTCTTATAGTTTTAAATATTTGCACTAATTCCATGTACACCTCCTTAAGTCACTTTCTATTATTTAAGGGGGTTTCTCAAAATAGGAATAAAAACAGTGTGAAATTCCAAGATAAAAGTATAATATTGTTTTCTCTAAATAGGAGTAAATTATTGTAATCCTTAAATCATTCTACCATAGTTAATCTTTTTCGAAATCAATATCATAGTTAGGCTTGGACCCGGTTCGGGCCACCCGGCACTGTTTGGGCCCGGCCCGGCCCGGGAACCGGGTAGCAATACCGGGTCTAGGCCCGGTTTGAAGGGGAAACCAGGGGCGGGTACGGGCTTAGGGAATTGAGAACCGGCCCGGCCGGTTCTGGGCCCGGTTCGGACCTTTTCAATTTTTTTTTGTTTTTTTGGTTTGGGGCTTTGGGCCGGGTTTAAATGGGCTGCAATGGGTGTTTCAGATGGGTTTATGGGATGGGGCTCCCCGGCCCACTACTGTGCAGACCCGGGACCGGCCCGGTTCACCGGCCCGGTTCACCGGTCCGGGTACCGGGCTTTGACCCGGTCCGAGGGGGAGACGGTTCCGGGCACGGTGCTGGCAAAATGAGACCCGGCCCGCCCGGGCCCGGTTTGGGCCAAAATCATTTTTTTTGTTTTTTCATTTTTTTTATTCCAACGGGTTGGGCTGGTTATTTTGGGGGGGGGGGGGTTGGGGTTGGGGGTGACGGGGGGGGGGGGGTCGGGGGTTAATTAGAAAAAGCAAAAAAAAAAAAATAAAGAGGCCCGGACCGGACCCGGTCCTACCCGGGCCGGTCCCGGGCCCAACTATTCAGAACCGGCGGCCCGCCCGGGCCTAGGCCCGGCCCGGACCTGACCCGGTCCGAATCCACCCCTGGATGGGGGGATGGGGGGTAGGGGATAAAATAATCAAGAAAACTAAAAAAATAGAACTGGGCCCGGACTGGCACCGGTCAACTACCGGGCCGGTCCCGGTCCTCACAAAAATTTTTTTGGGCCCTTCCGGGCCTAGGCCCGACCCAGAACCGGGCCCGGTTCAGTCCATGACTAATCATAGTTCAGTATTTTTTCAAGTGTGAACTACTCCTATTTAGGCGAAAATAAAATACCCCGTAGTATTCTTATTTTGACATTGTATACGTAGTACTCCGTATTTTTTTCTTCTGTTACGGACAACTTCTGATTCATTAATAATCTGTACATTGCCACATAAATTTATAAAATCTATTTAAAAATCATTAGAAATGCTTATTTCAACAACATAATATTCCTCCATCTCCTATTTTGAATTTGATATTGTTCTCTTATTTTGACTTGCATGTATAATACAAAAGGTTGAAATTGTGATTTAGAGCATCTCCAATGGGGATGTCTACTCTCTTCCACATTCTTACACACGGGTCCCATTTTTTATCTCACAAATTTTATGTGTAGGACCTACATATCTCCACATTTATTTTGTTTTTCATTTTTCTATATCACTTTTAACCCACTTTTCATCCACTTTTACTCCTCGATTCCCGTGTAAAGTCTATTTGTGGACATTGTCATACACATTGTCTACAATTTACTCCTATCTCTCTCTTCCTTTTCATTTTTCATACACACCACTTTCTCCATATTAAATTAAAATAATCATTCTATCTCTATCTCTCTCCTATGCCACGTAGGATAGACTTTACTCCAATCCACTACCCCATTATAATGATTCAACTGACATAATCATATGAACCGCATAATCATTACTATAAGAGCATCACCAATGGTAGAATGTGCACGGTGCACATGTGGCATAAGAGATAGCCACATAAATATTAGCAAAAAAATTATCTCTCTCCTTATTTGAATGATTTTATACAATTTTGGTATGTTTTTTCCTGCAATGTCAAATGCAATGTCAAATCTAGACGGTCTCCTTGACATTGTGGAGAAAAACTTACCAAAACTGAAAAAAATTATTCAAATAAGGAGAGAAATAATTTATTTTCTAGTATTTATGTGGTTATCTCTCATGCCACATGTGCACCATGCACATTCTACCATTGAAGATGCTCTAATAATAAATTGAAGTTTATAACGGACACACCAAAAGAAAAATACGATAGTACTACGTATGTTTTTAATAATGGCAAGTGGTAGTACTACTTTAATTCAAGTTTGAAAGTATCAACTTATGGACCAAAACGTACATAAATAGAAAACCAAATTTTACAAGATCTTCTTCAAGATCAGCTTACAACTTGATTTCCTTGCACTGTAGCAGCTTGTTTCTTGACACAGAATGAGGAGAGATGCCCACGTTCTTCACACTCATAACATCTTTGGTGCCATAGCTTTGTACTGAGTTGGCCAATCTGCACACGAGCGCTTGGCAGTTCATCAAGCTGAGAAATTTGAGTCGGTAAAACTCTTTGATTGAGTGCTCATTTGAGTAGATCTCGATTTGGTCACTGCATCTTGACTGTTAATTTCACTGAATATTGATTTGGTCACTCCAACTTGATTTCCTTGTTCGGCGGCTTGTTTCATGGGACAAGAAGAAGACTCGTGCCCACACTCATGACATACATAACATATCCGCCTCCTCTTCGCCCTGGCACTCTTTGCTTGAGTGTTAAAACTCTTTGATTGAGTGCTCATTTCAGTAGATCTCGATTTGGTCACTGCATCTTGACTGATAATTTCACTGAATATTGATTTGGTCACTCCAACTTGATTTCCATGTTCGGCGGCTTGTTTCATGGGACAAAAAGAAGACTCGTGCCCACACTCATGACATACATAACATATCCGCCTCCTCTTCACCCTGGCACTCTTTGCTTGAGTGTTAAAACTCTTTGATTGAGTGCCCATTTCAGTAGATCTTGATTTGGTCACTGCATGTTGACTGTTAATTTCACTGAATATTGATTTGGTCGCTCCAACTTTATTTCCTTGTTCAGTGGTTTGTTTCATGGGACAAGAAGAAGACTCGTGCCCACACTCACGGCATACATAACATATCCGACTCCTTCTCTTTGCCCTGTATGGGCCCATTTCAACATTTTTCACCCCATTGTTTGGCGGGAAGACAACATGATTATACACTACTCGTAGACTTGCTTTACAATAATGCGATAACGTTGCATTTGAGTCGTCGACACTCTTTGCTTGAGTGTTAATTTCAGTACATTTTGATTTGGTCAATGCAAATTGATTTCCTTTTTCAGTTGCCTGTTTCTTGGGACAAGAAGACGAAACATGCCCACGCTCCCCACATTGATAACACGTTCTCCTCCTAATCTTTGCACTGATTGGCCCTGTCTCAACATTCTCCGCCTGATTGCTTGTCAGGATATTGATGTTATTATTCGCTTGTGGTGGGCCTGCTGTATAATCTGGTGAGACGACTGTTAAATTGTCAAAACTCTCTACTTGAGTATTATTCGCATGGGTATTTATTGATTTGGTCAGTGCCCGTCCCTTCTTTGGGACAGTATAACTTATCCTAACAGGTCTTCCACAAACAATTTTCTGATCTAGCTTTAACGCTTTTTCTAAAGAACAATTATCTGCAAAATCAACATGGGCATAGCCTTCCAACAACCCTGTTTCCTTATCTTCTGCGAACCAGATGGATGCTATTTGGCAACCAGAAAAAAGGTTCCTTAAATCGTCCTCGGTTATCTCCCATGACAAATTTCCTATATAAATCCTGTAGTAACCATCCACAGCCGTCGAAGAGAAGTTAGAAACTTTGTTTTTTGATCTAAATGGGTTATATGCTTGGACTTTCAGGAATAGCCCACCCCTGCAAGAGGTAGATGGTCATAATGATGACTCAAGACAGAGTAGGATGAGTGGGGAGTAGTTATTGAGCTAATAGGTGACTTACATATCCGATCCGTCAAGGCCCAAGGCTCTTTTCGCAGCCACATCTGTCTGGAAATAATAATTTTGGTTATTAGATGATTGACAAGAGTTGTTATAAAACCAATATAATGATCATTTGTAGAAAATTTGGCCGGTTAGGAGCTAAACTTGTTGGTTCCAGAAAACACAAGGGTTACTTAAACGTAATCAAACCAACCACTACTTAATGGGAAAGATAAGAGGCATTTATTTACCCCTCCATGAAAAGGACTTCATCTCTTTTACTTTATATGCTCTATACTATTTAAAATTATAACTACGCATTTTGGTTGAGTACGTGATACGAAGCTACTGTCCCACATATTTCAGACGATATGTTAAACTGGTTTTTTGGATAAAAAATAGTTCCTTTTTACAATTCCAACTTGTAAATCCTTCTTCAATGTGGCATAAAATAAGAAATTGGTAATCATGTGACATACAAATTTAGATATCTCACTGGACACTCACTGTTTGTGGTTTCTAACAGCAAAAGAAACAGCTCTAAAGATTCAAAGGGCAAGAACATTGCAGCCTGGTATCAGGTTGGTTTTGCACTAGGGTAATTCATCTACAAGTCAACGTAACAAAGATACCTAAGTGTCATGACATAACAATCCGCGTACTTCCGGTTGGATATGTCGTGTACGAAGTACTTTCGCAGCTAAACAGCACAAGGTCACTGTGATGGGCTTTGCTTAAGATTCCTTTAGCCTCCTTCAGTTAAGCATAATGAGCCTACTGGAAATATTTACCCTACTCACTGAAAGCATTTATGTGCTCTTTCACTAAAGTTAATTAACACAATAACTTTTCCCTAGAAGTTCACCATCATTGTAGTCCACAAAAATATAAGGTGTTGTCATAGAATGTTAACATAATAAAAAGATAAACTGCAAGCCACTAGCTTATTCAATGTGGTTTAGTTCACATAAGTATGAAATTTGATTTCACCACGTGATTTGTGCTTTGTGGAGAACTATCTTTTTCTTTCAGATTTGTTTTGATTTCTAATCTGGAAAGCGCGGTAGTGGGGGGACGTGTTCGCTTTTAGATAGACTCAAATGGAAATAATGCTTAAGGGTCTGTGTGTATCTAGGAAAACGCTGGGAAAATATAAACAGATGGAAATGAAAGGGAAATTTGGAAAGAAAGACAACAAAAAGTAGGTTCAAACTCAATAATGTAATTGTAGATATTTGTCCAAGCTAAATAGAGTAATTGAAGATGTATGTTCAAACCCGTTTTTTTTATATTTCTAAAATATAAAAGACTAAGAAATCTCTCCCTTACACACACGCATAGAATCCTAAAAAATTCTTATCAGATTGGTTTTTCTTTGAATTTCCCAAGGTAAAATTGTAAAACAAACCAACAAATTTATCTTCCACCGTACTTTCCTTTTTTCTTACTATTTTTTGAGATCCAAACTGGTTCATAATAATAACAAAGAAATACACAAAACTTACCTTAAAATTGATTACTGCAATGCCTCTGAACTTTCCAGTGTCGGGGAATATCATACAATCAATTTGAGTAACGGGGCCACACCCTCCAAAGAAACTTCTAATATCATCCTCATTGAAGTAGTATGGGATGCCTCCATAGTAGATGCATCAACAACTTCTTTACTGCAATAGCATGAATCAAATATCATAAAATGAAGAGAGAAAAACAGAAGAAAGTTCATCAAACTTAACTAAACAATGGTAATCAAGAAATGCACATAAACTGTACCCAACCAGCCACATCATCACAAGCTTCACCTTAATTCTAACTATATTAGGGTTGGTTTCAAAAACGTGTAGTGTCGATTCATTGTCTAAAATTAATTAACAGTATAAAATCATGCAAAATATGTGAAGACAGAAGAAAATTTGAGTTGGACTCAAGATTCATCCAGAATGGCAGAGGGTGAAGAAATTAGTAATCAGAATTAACACAGACTTCTGTACTCAGATTGACAGTCACAAGAAAAGAAAAATACTGTGTCCTGAGCAAAATAATTCAAAAAAAAACAAGCTCATAGAACAGGCTGCTAGTGAAATCAAACGGACATTATTGATAACTTCAACAGCAAATCTTAAATTCTTAGGGGCCATTTGGTAATGGCTATTTTGCCAAGTGTGCTGATTTGTATGAAACGGGTATCGTTTGGTAAAATAGGAAGCTGGTCCAGGAATCTGGATTGACAGAAATCCTGAAGCAGAATCCTTCGATTTAGTAGGTTTGAAGTTTTAAACATTAGCAGGGAGTAAACTAAATATAAAAAATTACAGTAAAAAATAAAATAAAAAATGAATTGCCTTACGTTTCAGCACAATTCAGACTCAACCTAGACTCTCCCTCGGATAAGATCCACCAATCAGAGTCGCAAGCCATGGGCTGTCGGCAAATGGTAGGGGCATTACGGTTAACGTATTTTTTCGGCTTCTTCCTCTTCAAATCCCTTATGTGTACCATTGATGCTCCAGAAAGCTATCCCACCAACCCGTTAAAGTTGATATGAAGAGTTTTGGAGGCGGGCTGGCCGGAAATGGCTATGGGGTTTCTGGTGGAAGGGGCAAAATTGTTTCTCTTTTTTTCTCTCGAAGATAAGGCAGTAATTTCAAGTTTACGCGCTAGAAATTATATTTGGCGTATAATCCTGTTTTATCCTATGTTCTAGAGGAAGCGATCGAGTCAAATAATTGGGTCCTAGGTCAACCCCGTCAACACCAGATAAACTTGGACAACACTATATAAAAGTGAAAGGAAATAAATAATTTAAATATCTCAAATTGAGTACTTAACTTGAACTTACATATACACCCCAAACTTTATATAAAAAGATTTATTAGCATCATATATTTTTTCACAAATTTAATTTTATGGGGTTAAGTACATAATTTAAAATTCAATTGTTCCGGATTTAGTAATACATATTTTTACAAAGGAAATTTTAGAGTGTTAACTACTTCGTATATTCTAACAAGGTTTAGAGGTTTTAAATTATGTAATTATTATTCCAATAAATTTGTATTTGTAAAAATATATACAATCATAGTGTGAAACTAATTTTTTATATAAAATTCAGGATATATATTACATGTGTAAATTTGATATATTTATCTCACATCTCATTAAAGAGCATTATCTAACAAGATTACAGAGATTTAGGAAGAAAAAAATCAACTGCTATCGGGAAATCAAGAAATCACGAAACGAAATTGCCTCCAGAACAATACACTCTTAAGCCAAACATGAGATTCCCTCCATCGTGGGTAATGGCGATATGGAAATATCAGCGAGGCGGTGGGCTGTGATTCACCGTCATAGACTACATTGGAGCAGACTACCTCCGCTTCACCTTGCCGCATTTGCACTCGTGGATTCAGCCATTGCTATGGATCGACATGGCAATCGCAATCATAATCTGTGCCCCCTTCTACAATCATTGACGAGTTGAGCTTTGCTCTGCGCAAAATGACGATTTGACCCAAACATCTTCTGACAACAAAAAAATAGTTGTACGGACCTAACGTTTTTGGACGAAATTGTTGAAATTAAAACAGTCAAATAATAGAGTTTTGGGTTAGCATTTTGAATATGACGTTTTCTACTAAATTCTGTAGGCAAACGACTAAATTACTAAACATCTTCTGACAACCACCAACTTATTCCGCTAGCCAAATACACTAACCAATTGTTGTCCGCTAACCGCTAAAAGTCAAACACACCCACCTTTTGACTCGTCGCCCTCCTTATTGAAGTCATTTCTGTCCGTTCTGTCACCGCTGTGCTCGGACTTGATTGGCACAAGTAAGCAGCTCACACAGCTTATGTATATAATCACATTCCCTTTCTAGTTCTGATTTATTTAAGTAATACTTTTCTGTGATGGCATCGTATATTGTATCGGTTTATTTAGAGTTTGTTTGGTAATACTAAAATCGGCTGCATCAGCTGATTCTGCTGAAGTTTATGAAATTATGGTTGAAATGGTTGGATTTATTGATTCTGCTTGATTATGTAAAATATTATAATTACAATATATTTTATTAATAAAATAAAGAAAAAATTAAATGAAAAAATAGCTAAAATGATCATCTACAGTAACTTCAGTCAATATGGCCAGAAAAGTAACTTCAACCTTACTTTTTCTTATTATTACACAATTCAGTGCACTAAATCAAAAGTTACGTATTTGATGAAAAAGTTGGCTGATAAGTATAATAAGCTCAAACACATGCTTGCCAAATGGGCTCTTAATTTCTGGAACGATTTGTTTCTAATTTGAGCAAATGAAGAAAGAAATCAAAGACACATTGTGGGTTCATTTATTAAGCAACCCCTAAAGATTTCGCTGATAATCAATCTAGATAAAAAGATTGCGATTTCTACTTTTGGTAGGACAATACTTCCGTAAAACATTAAGGATACAAATTTAGAAATGATGAGAGGGGAAGGTTCAGGTAAACCTTGAAACTGGAATCATCCTTCAAGATAATTGGATGGTGGATCGGCAATTTATATCCTACTCCCGGATCACCGGATGTATAGGTATATCCTTTTTTTTTTGTAAATATATCAACTTCAAGCCTCTGAATCAGCAGGTTCGTTCCATCCTTTTCTTCTTCCGCCGCATTCTCTTTCCTTTCTTTTCTTCCGGTGTTCTCTTTCCTTTCTTCTCTTCCGGCGTTCTCTTTTCTTTCTTCTCTTCCGGCGTTCTCTTTCCTTTCTTCTCTTCCGGCGTTCTCTTTCCTTTCTTCTCTTCCGGCGTTCTCTTTCCTTTCTTTTCTTCCGCCATCCTCTTTCGGTCTTTCCTTTCTTTTCTATCTTTTGCAGTTCTGCCGCCATCCATTCTGATTTTTGATTGTTACGTTTTAGTGTGTTGTCTTTTTGTTTTTTGTTTTTTTTTTCTTTACTTTTACTGCTAGCTATTTTACTTTCATTTATTTTGTCTTTTACTTTTTTACTTCTTTTCGTTTCTTTATTTGTTGTTTAATTTTTCTTTTTTATATATTATACTGAGTACATTATAAATGAGTTTTACCTTAAACTTAAATGAGTAAAACAGCTAAAAAATGAACATACATAAACAAGCTTTTGAATTTTTGAATATTCATTTTGTAAATTATGCATATTCATTTAGTATCTCGGTTATGCTCATTTTTAAAATGTTTTAGCAATGCACATTTCAAAAGTCTCATATTACATAAGATTTATATAAGAGTTGATTATACACACGAGACCACAAATCTTGATACTCAATCGCAGATTCTAATACTCAATAACGGAGGTTTGATGATCACCGAAAATGTCTTGATGCTCAACGAATAAAACTTGCAATTTTCATATCAATGCTCATCTTGTAAATTACATATGCTCATTTGTATAGGTCTGGTGCTCATTAACAATTCATTAATGCTCATTCAATAGAATTCATGATTTTCATCAATCTTAATAGACGATGTTTGATACATATGCTCATTTGAGACTGATCATATGCTCATTTTATAAATGTCATATCAATCCATTTTAAAAGTACTACAAAATATTTTATATTAGACTCCTAATACTCAATATAATAGGTCTGATGCTCATTAAAAGTTCATTATTACTCATTCTCCAGAAGTTGTGATTTTCATCTCAATAGTGGAGGTTGATGCTCAATTAAAATGTCATGATGTTTAACTAACAATTCTAACCATTTTCATATAATATGCATTTATATAGGTCTGGTGCTCATTAACAATTCATTAATGCTCATTTAATAGAATTCATGATTTTCATCAATCTCAATAGACGATGTTTGATAAGTATGATTTTCTGAGACTGGTCATATGCTCGTTTTATAAATGTCATATCAATCCATTTTAAAAGTACTACAGAGTATTTTATATTACACTCCTAATACTCAATATAATAGGTCTGATGTTCATTAAAAGTTCATTATTACTCATTCTCCAGAAGTCGTGATTTTCATCTCAATAGTGGAGGTTGATGCTCAATTAAAATGTCATGATGTTCAACTTACAAAGTACACATTGATATGAAAATCGGAAGTTTTTTTAATTTAATATCACGAATTTTTAATTGAGCATCAAATATTCGTTATTGAGATGAAATTCACGGTTTCTGGTAAATGAGCATTAATGAATTGTTAATGAGCATCAAATCTATTATGTTGAGTATTAGAAGTCTAATATTCAGAATCGTGATCTTTGCTTCATAACTTCTAATTCACTTTCTTTTTGTTATTTTTCCTTTTTAAAAACTTATTAAATTATATTTCTAATCAACTCCTATGAAAATAGTACTTTAAAGCAAATGCATTGATATGACATTTAGAAAATGAGTACCAGATGAGCATACGTAACTTACAAAATAGTTTGATTTGAAAATCGTAAAGTTTGTTAGTTTGACACAACAACATATTCATTGAGAATCAAACCTCATCTCTTGAGATGAAAATCACAATTTTTGTTAAATGAGTATTAATAAACTTTTAATGTGCATCAGACCTGTTATGAGTATTAAAACACTTTCGATGAGCATCATGCTTATTAGGAACCTAACAATATATAATAAAATTATAAATATATTTGTATAAATTAATAGTATGATTCATAGATCAAATAAATACTTCAAAAATATGAATTAGTCTTTTAATATAGTTACAATGAGCAAAATCAAAGAATAGTTAATATTAACACAATTGTAGTACAGAGTATGAAAATGTATAGAATAAGGAACATCAAACAACAAAATTTCTCAACCAGGCAAGACGGAGAGATGGATGGGAGGCCGCATGCTATGTTCCAGTTCTAGGGATTGAATCCTGCTCACATTTTAATTTTTTTAATGAAAGAATCCAGTTCCCAAGTTCGAGTTTGGTAATAAAAAACCGATTTACTCAGTTTTAAAAACCGGATCACCCGCCATCACTTAAAGGACATTTTTTTGAAAAAATTCATATTGGATATTTTCTGGAAACTTTCGCTGCCCGAACTTAGTACGTAACAATAAAAATTATAGACTAAGAAGCTGTTCCGTTCACCTGATCTGAATGTTTCTGATCTGAATTTTTTAAGTTCTGATCTGATCTGATCTGAATTTTTCTGATCTGATCTGATCTGAATTTTTCTGATCTGATCTGATCTGATCTGAATCTTTCTGATCTGATCTGAATCTTTCTGATCTGATCTGAACGTTGCTGAACTGATCTGAATGTTGCTGATCTGATCTGATCTGATCTGAATGTTTCTGATCTGATCTGAATGTTTCTGATCTGATCTGAATTCTTCTGATCTGAATCTTTCTGATCTGATTTGAATATTTCTATAATTGTAATTATAATTATAATTATTAGATTTATAATTGTAATTAAAAATATAACTTAAATAAAATTACAATTATAATCATAATTATAAAAAAATAATAATTAAAATTAAATTTAAAATTATAATAATTATACCAATTACACTAATTATAAATACAGATACAATTATAAATGTAATTATATTTTTAATTATGATTAATTTTATAATTATTTTTTTTGTAATTATAATTATAATATTTATCTCTATAATCATAATTATATCTATAATTACTAATTTAAATATATAATTACTCCGAAGTAATAATAATTACAAAAATAACAACAAGAACAACAATCATATTAATAATAATGATGATTATAATTATAATTACATTGTAAATCATAATAATAATTATAATTATAAATATATTATATTATATTATATTATATTATATTATATTATATTATATTATATTATATTATATTATATTATATTATATTATATTATATTATATTATATTATATTATATTATATTATATTATATTATATTATATTATATTATATTATATTATATTATATTATATTATATTATATTATATTATATTATATTATATTATATTATATTATATTATATTATATTATATTATATTATATTATATTATATTATATTATATTATATTATATTATATTATATTATATTATATAATAATAATTTTATATTATTAACATTATTATTATATTATTATTAATAATATTATTATATTAATATATTAATATTATTAACAATAACTATAATATAATAATCATAATTAATATAATAATAAAAGTGATAAATCATGTTTGAATTTTTTGATCTGATCTGATCTGAATGTTTCTGATCTGATCTGAATGTTTCTGATTTGGTCTGATCTGGTCTGAATCTTTCTGATCTGATCTGAATGTTGCTGATCTGATCTGAATCTTTCTGATCTGATCTGAATGTTTCTGATCTGATCTGATCTGATCTGAATCTTTCTGATCTGATCTGATCTGATCTGAATCTTTCTGATCTGATCTGATCTGATCTGAATAAAATAAGATTAAGGAATAAGTAATAAGATTAAGACGAACGGAACAGCTTCTAACTTAAGATATGACAATGAAACAGTGGCCAGTGGGAATTTTTCCTCTTTGCCAAGTTTGGTTCAGGAGTGCAAGAAGGATGTTGTAAAAGTGTGTCGATTTATTGTCATTGATATATCATGTGCATTTTATTTGAATGAATTTTCATGTCCCATTCTTGTGTTTTGAGTCGCTTAACATACAAGAAAGGGAAAACTGTCAAATAGTTCCTTGAACTTTCATAAAAAGGTCAATTAAGTCCTTTTATAGGAGATTCTGTCTGGCCGTCGCGATTTGGGGCAGTTCCCGATGGAATTTTTTGATGAAATTTTTTGAGCATCTTATTCACCAAGTCTAGTTTACTCATACCAAATTTCAGCTAAAAATTCAATCGGGAACACATTCAAATTAATTCTTGAAGATAATTGCGCATTTTTGCGTTCTCAAATTAATTTGAATGTGCTCCCAATTAAATTTTTAGCTGAAAATTTGATATGAGTAAACTAGACTCGATGAATAAGATGCTCAAAAATTTTCATCAAAATAATTCACCGGGAACCGCCCCAAATCGCGACGACCGGACAGAGTCTCCTATAGAAGGACTTAATTGATTTTTTTATGAAAGTTCGAGGACCTATTTGATAGTTTTCCCTAGAAGAAACTTTATGAAACTGTGTAACATTGTTCCTCCATGATATACTATATACGGAGTACATGATAACGGTGTGTTGTGAGTTAGGGTGGACTCGATCCTGGTCTGGTTCGCTTCTGGTCCACATCCTAGACCGGCCGATGTGGATCATTGTTTAGAGAAGCCCGGGTTTGATCCGGTACTATTCGGGTCTAGGCTAGTTACGTTCTTGGTACCTGGGCAGCTGTGCTCGTTCAATTCTTTTGGCCGTTTCCAAGGCTTAAAAATGTCATCAGTTGGGACCGAAAATAGGGATCAGAATGGCCCGTGGATCCCCAAATATGTAAATTGGGACCGGGTACCCCTCTTGGGTGGATAGGGCTGGTCCCATACTCGAAACTGAAAAAACAGGACTAGTCCTAAATAGTGTCAGACCCGGTTCTGGGCTAGGTCCATCCCTAGTTGTGAGTGTTTTTTCTCTTTTTTATAATGCAATATGAAAGTTCGGATCACTCTTTCAACAATTTGCTCTTCACACGGTACAAAAGTGAAACAACAGTTTTGGTAAACACCAGTTAATGTAAGAAAGTGATATTGTTGTAATGAACATTAAACTTTAAGATTAATAAAATATGGTATATGTAAAATAATAAATTTTGACTAAAACAAGTTATATGGTTTTCTTTAGATATCTCAATGCTTATTGTTGTGAGTTCATTGTACACGTGAGATAAATTTTAGATTAATTTATAATATTTAAAACATATTTTGTATAAGATTGTATACTAACTTTAATATTTATTTTTGAGCTTAAAGCTCTTAAGAGCTTGTTTGGTAACTAATATTTTTATGCTTATCACTCTAATCCGTCATTTTTGTTTATCAAACACATTACATTTGATTTTGTTCGCTCAATTATATACTATGTCTTAATAAAAATAAGTACGTTTTGAGTTATTTCTGTAATTAAATTGGTTGAAGTTACTGTCAAAGACAATTGTGGCTTTTTTGATACTTTTATTTATTTATCATTAAAGAGATATTTTAAATATAATATTCATGCAAATCTGCAAATTAGTGAAATCAATCGATTCATTTAAAATTTCATTAGTTGCAAACTTGCAATATACTCCACCAATTTAACTCATTTCAATGTTACTAAATTTGTATTAACTATAGCGTAGTAAAAATCACGGAGTACAATTTGTTAGTTTATACATTAGCTAGAAAATCTTATTAATATGGTTTTCCCTTAAAAGCCCAAAAAGAATAGTTTTCCCTAAATAGGAACAAATTATTGTAAGCCGAAAACCACACTACCATATTTTGTCAAAATTAATGTCATAGTTCAAAGTGTTTTTTGAAGAATGTCAATAACGACTCCTATTTATGGGAAATTAAAATACTACTCTTATTTCAGAATTTTATATTGTTTTATTCTATTTTGGTCAACTTCTAATTCAATAATAATCTGTACATTTCCACATAAATTTATAAATAAGTTATTAAAAGGGTAATTAAAACTTCAAAATAATATACCTCCATCTCCTAGTATGAATTTGATATTGATCTCTTATTTTGACTTGCATGTATAATAACAAAAGTTAAAATTGTGACTTGTAGCGATTCAATTGACGAAAAAATAATACGAACCACATAATCATTACTATAAAATGCAAACGAAGTTTTTTTATACCAAAAGGAACGGTATGTTTTTAATAACAGCTTGCGGTACTACTTTAATTCATGTTTGAAAGTATTAACTAATGGACCAAAAAGTATTACCAACTTGTTTGTCCGTATATAGAGGAAATACTCACTAAATGAAGCACAAATACATAAATAGAAAACAAAATTTTACAAAATCTTCTTCAAGATCAGCTTGCAACTTGATTTCCTTGCTCGGTAGCACCTTTTTTCTTGACACAAAATGAGGAGAGATGCCCACGTTCTCCACATTCATAACACGTCCGCCTCCGTATCTTTGCACTGAGTTGACCAATCTCCACTGGAGCGCTTGGCAATGCATCAAGCTGATTACTTACTTGTACATTGTTTAGTCGCGTGAAATTTGAGTCGTCAAAACTCTTTAATTGAGTACTCATTTCGGTAGATCTAGATTTGGTCACTGGAACTTGACTGTTCATTTCGCTGGATATTGATGTGGTCACTCCAACTCGATTTCCTTGTTCAACTGCTTGTTTCATGGGACAAGAAGAAGACTCGTGCCCACGCTCTCCACATTCATAACACGTTCTCCTTCTAATCTTTGCATTGAGTGGCCCTGTCTCAACATTCTCCACCTGATTGCTTGGCAGGAAATCGGTGTTATTATTCTCTTGTGACGGGACTGCCGTGTTATCTTGTGAGAGGATATTTACATCTTCCAAACTCTTTACTTGAGCATTATTCACTTCAGTAGTTCTTGATTTGGTCAGTGCCCCTAACTTCTTTGGGACAGCACAACTTATCCTAACAGGTCTTCCACAAACAATTTTCTGATCCAGCTTCAACGCTGTTTGTAAAGAGGGATTATCCGCAAAATCAACATGGGCATAGCCTTTGAACACCCCTGTTTCCTTATCTTCTCCGAACCGGATAGATGCTATTTGACAACCAGAAAAAAAGTTCCTTAAGTCGTCCTCGGTTATGTCCCATGACAAATTTCCTATATAAATCCTGTTGTAACCATCCACAGCTGCCGGAGAGAAGTTAGAAACTTTGTTTTTTGATCTAAATGCGTTGTATGCCTGGACTTTCAGGAATAGTCCACCCCTGCAAGAGGTAGACGGAGATAATGATGACTTACGACAGAGTAGGATGAGCTAGAAGTAGTTATTGATCTAATAGGTGACTTACATGTCCGATCCGTCAAGGCCCAAGGCTCTTTTTGCAGCCGCTTCTGTCTGGAAAAAATAAGTTAGGTTATTAGATGTTTCACATGTGTTGTTTCAAAACCAAAATAATAATCACTCGTAGAAAGTAATCACTCGTAGAAAGTTTGGCTGGTCAGGAGCTTAACTTGTTGGTCCCAGAAAGCACAAGGGTTGATTGGTACTTTGACCACATCTTGTGGGAGGTAAATGTAATTAAACAAAGACTACTTACTGGGAAAGATAAGATGCATTTATTTACACTCCAAGAAATGGACTTCATCTTTTTTACTTTATACGCTCCGTACTATTTATAAAATTATAACCAAGCATTTTGGTCAAGTACGTGACAGGGAACCACTGTCCCACACATTCCAAACAATATGTTAAGAAAATTAGAAAATCGGTAATCATGTGACGATAAAATAAGAATATTGGAAAATTGGTAATCATGTGATGATACAAATTTAGATATCTCACTAGAAACCCATTGTTTGTGGTTTCTAACAGCAAAAGAACACACCATAAAGAATCAAAAGGCAAGAAATATGCAGCCTGATATCAGATTGGTTTTGATCAAAGGCAATTCTTCTACAAGTCAACGAAACAAGATACTCAAGTGTCATGACTTAACAATCCGGGCATTTCCAGTTGAATACGTCACGTACGAAGTATTTTAGCTGCTAAAGAGCACAAAATCACTGTGATGGGTTCTGCTTAAGATTCCTTTAGCCTCCTTCAGTTAAGCATAATGAGCCTGCTGGAAATATTTCCCTTACTCAATGAAAGCACATATGTGCTCTTTCAGTAAAGTAAATCAACACAATAATTTTCCATAAAAGTTCACCATCATCATAGTCTTCAAAAATATAAGGTGCTTTCCGAGAATGTTTACAAAATAAAAAGAGAAACTGCAGGCTACTAGCTTATTTGATGGGGTTTAACTCACACAAGTATGACATTTGATTTCGCCACAAGATTTTTGTTTAGTGGAGACTGGAGAGCATTTTTTTCTCGCAAAATTGTTTTGATTTCTAATGTGGGAAGCGGGAGTAGGGGGGCTTGTTCACTTTTAGATAGATTTAAATACGTATAATGCTCAAGGGTCTCCCGGTTTACAGGAAAACGTTTGGGATATATAAACAGAAGGAATTTAAAGGATAATTTGGAAAGAAAGACAACATAAAGTTGGTGCAAACTAAAAGATGTGATTGTAGATATTTGTTCAAACTCAATTAAGTAATTGAAGATGTATGCTCAATCCCATTTTTTTATATTTCTAATTTTTAAAGCCAAAGAAATCTCTCTCTTACACACATACGCATAGAATCCTAGAAAGTTCTTATGAGATTGGTTTTCTCTGAACTTCTCATAATAAAAGTGTAAAACAAACAAACAAACAAATTTATCTTCCAAATTACTTTTTCCTTTTCTTACCATTTTTTAGATGTAATTAAAGCCTAATGGTTAAAGTGGTTCATAATAATAACAAAGAAATGAACAAAACTGACCTTAAAATTGATTATTGCAATGCCTCTGAACTTTCCCGTGTCCGGGAATATCATACAATCAATTTTTGTAATGGTCCCACACCCTTCAAAGAAACTCCTAATATCATCCTCATTGGAGTAGTATGGGATGCCTCCAACATAAACTTTTGTAGGTGCATCAACAACTTCTTTACTGCAACAGCATGAATCAAACATCATAAAAGTAAATAGAGAAAAAAACAGAAGAATGTTCACCAAACTTAACCAAACAGTGCTAATCAAGAAATACAAGTAAACTGTATGCGACGAGCCAAAGGTAAATTAATTGAAGGCAGGTCTTTCTAGAATTTCGTCATCACAAGCTTCCCCTTAATTCTAACTACATTGGGGTTGGTTGCAAAAACTTGTAGTGAAATGTCAATTTAGTGTCTAAAATTAATTAACAGTATAAAATCATGCAAAATATGTGAAGACAGAAGAAAATGTGAGTTGGACTCAAGAGTCATCCAGAATGGGAGAGGGTGCAGAGATTAATATCATCAGACATGAGAATTTAATACGATTTTTTTACTCAGATTGACCGTCACAAGAGAAGAAAAATACTTGATCTTGAGCAAAATAATACAAAAAAGTAATCTCAGAGAACAGGCTACTAGTGAAAAGATAAGGACATTATTGATAATTGCAAATTTGCAATAGCAAATCCTAAATGCTTAGAGGCCATTTGTTAACGGTTATTTTTATGAGTATGCTGATTTTTCTGAAAGAGGTAGCATTTGGTAAGATCTACTTTCATCCAAATAAGTAATTACAAAGAAATTTATTCTTGTATTTCTTTGGTGAGCAGATTAAGCCCATTATGGTACCAAAAGGATCCCTAATTAAAAATTGAATCATGGAAACAGCTAGAAGATGTACTAAGTGCATGTGCTATGCTAAAACTAAGCCTCAAAGAAAATGCAGTAACAAATTGGGTAATCCAATTCATAAAACCATACAGCTTAATATCTGTAATTGCCTGTGCAGCTACTTCTTCTACAACCTTCACACCTTCCTTCAATTCCTCATTTCCTGTCTCTTTTTTCCCTTTACTCTTCTTCTTCTGCTTCTTCTTCTTCTTCTTTTTCTTTTTTGGCGTCATGACCACCCTCTTCTTCACTTCCTGTCCACTCTCTAATCCATCCATATCACTTATTTTCCACTTTTTCATATTCATTTGATCTGACTCGTTATCTCCCTCTTTCCCCCCCTTTTCATCTCCAATTCCACTTTCTCTCCCAACCTCTGCATTAATGGCAGAACGTGCTTCCAGCCATTTAGCCCTTCCCGGGCGTAGTTCTCTTTTCAACCGCTTAAGTGCTTTGGCTGCAGATAGAGGGGCGGGTTTGGGTGGTTCTTCTACAGAAACTTGTTGGGGAACGACCAAATCAACCTTCTCTAACACGCCATTAGCCCCATTCTTCCTCTTCTTCGTATTCCTCTTCTCTGAGCCATCACCTCCCTCTTTCTCCCCTTTCTCACCCCCGCTGCCACTTTCTTCCCCAACTCCGGCATTGATGGAGGAATTCTCTAGCGATGAGTGTGCCCTTTTATTGCGCTGTTCTCTTTTCGAGGATTTGAGCTTTTGGGTGATGGATTCCAAAACTGTGTTGAGTAGCTTTCCTGATTTGGAATCCGGGTCTTCTGAAATCTCTCGGGCTACCAACAGTTCAGCCTTAGCCGCTCTTAGCTTTTCCTTGAGCTTCTTGTTCGATAGAACCATTCTTCAATGTTAGGGTTTTTCAGCTATGGGGGTGGTATCACAATCGTTGGAAGGATTGATAACAGAACTAAACCCCTCGAGAACCCCCAAAATGCGTAAAACAACGAAAATAAATAAAATAAACCTAACTCCTCTCCCAAAAAAAAACTCTAAAAAAAACCCAATACGGAGTACTTCCTTCGGCTACTTAATTCTACCTACTTTTTCACTCTATTCATTACCCCTACTATTTCACTCTTAAGTATTCCTTACATATTGAAATATTGGTTACAGTTTCTTTTTTGGGATGTATTTAAATTTTTACAATATCTTTTGATAAATTTTCATGTTAAAAATATTCAATCAACTTACTTTTCTTACATTTTATCTTCTCTTACATATCTTGCAATTTTCTTTCCCACACTCACATATTCACACTCAATTACATTTAGAGCCCGTTTTGTAGCACAAAAATCGGCTGATTTGGCTGATTCTGCTGAAATTTATGAAGTTCTGGCTGAAGTGACTGCATTGGTTGATTCTGCTGATTTAAGGGAAAAAAAATTTAAAAAACTCCGTATTTCATTAATAAAATAAAGAAAAATTATATGTAAAAATAGCTTAAATGATCAGCGAAGTAACTTCGACCTTACTTTTTCTGCTTATTACACAATTCAGCGCGCGAAAACAAAAGTTACGCGTTTGGTGAAAAAGTTGACTGATAAGCCTGATAAGCCGAAAGACAGTGATTCCAAACGGCCTCTTACTCTTTTTTATAGTATCATTTATCCTTTAAATATTGTGCCAAATTCTATTGTAACAAACATTTTTATATGAACAGATTATAATACGTAGTCATTCGTTTAGTTCTTAATTTCTAATTCTAGAAAATTTTGCAGGAGCAAGTCTCAGTTCGTTAGTGGCCTCCACATCTATTCCTTCTTCCAACTTTTTCTTTGTTTTCGAATATGAAAAAATGAGTAAAATGGACAAATGAGCATTAAACTATCATCACCATATCTTTTTGATCCCTAAATTAAGAAATTTATCATTCTACTCCTTATTCTATTTAGTCCGTATCCAGTGGCGTATCCAGAAAATTTGGCGAGCAGGGGCAAACTTGCACTACAATTTAGTCTCATATTTGACAAATAGCAAATCGCATTACTAATATTGTTTGATTAAATTTAGTTTAGGATATATATCTACAACTCTACAAGTATGAATAAAAAGAAGATTAATTTATATTACGGGTGTGTGAAGATGTAATTGCAGATAAAATTTAAAAAAATTACCTAAATATAAGTTAAACATAACAAAATTTAGTGATTTTTTTAGCCTTTGATTCTTTTAATATGAAAGAAACACTCTTAATCCTATTTTAGATTTTTTTTTTCCGCTACATTTAACTCTTCTTTTGAGCAATTTCTTATAAAATTTCAGACATATATATAAGGGTTGGGTTGGGGTTGAGTGGGGGCAGCTGCCCCCGCTGCCCCCATAGTGGATACGCCACTGTCCGTATCAATTCAATCCTTCCGTCGTTTTTAACTGTCATATAGACGAAATGTTAAAAATATTCTCACATGTCTAAAACAATTTATACTTCAGACATTGATCACTTGAAAAAAAATCCAACTACTCCCTCTCAAAGAAGTTCTCAGTTTAACCTATACACATATTAAAGAAATAAACTTGTCGGGGATAAATTTTATTATTTTGACACTGTTTGAACACTATTTTGCACTGTTTGACACGGTTTTGATGTAGATAACTTGCCATTTAAGGAAATGAGATCTTTTTGGAACATCTAAATAAGAAAATGGTAACTTCTTTGCAGGATGGGAGGGACTGAGGGAGTAGTAGTAAACAACTTCACCTAGTATGCATTTTGTTATAAACCCTCCTCCGTCTAATAATAATATTAATAATAATAATAATAATGTCTGATTATATTTTGAAAACTTACATGAACTATAGCCCTATATAGGCATTTTCCAATAAATTATATGGTGCCCAACTGCCCACTGTGTAGCTCAATTAAACAACACTACCTGGGCAAAATGCACACATGCACATTTAAAAAGTTATGCACTTTTATGAAAATTTTAGATTATTACGTAGTAGTTTAGTACAATGGTAGTATGATACCCCTTTTATCCAAAATCATGCAGTCAGCACATATTTACATGGAAGGATGACTTAATTTCGAACCTAAATCTTATATGAGTGTACAAAACTAGAATTCGAGATTTATATCAGATTAGTGTATAGTTCATAAAATTAGGAACTGATTTAAACTCTACTTAAACACCATCGCAAGAATCTCTGAGCAGTAGTAATTGAAAATTGTAAATATAGTATCTAGACAATAAAACATAACATTATGCTCAGATGATCCCGATCTTGTTCGCAACATCCAGGGCATCAGAATCTGGAGTCAACCGAACATATGCCTTCTTAGTTCCATCTGGCCTACATTGACAGGAAATTGACAGGTGATTAAAAGACTAGTATCATCACAAATGACAGTTAAACCTGATGGAATGTAATGGTTTGAATCAGTCTATATATCTTGCTATTTCTGTAAGATTTTATAAAATTGAAAATTTGAAATATTCACATAAATGTGATCATAAAAACATTTCAATCACTATTTGTATTTATAAACATTAAATTTATCAAGAAACAGACTAAGTTATCCAAAGTCTTCTAGAAAATGCTCCATCCAAACACCACTCACGCCCAAGTTCATGGGTGAGCCAGAAAATGGAGAATAATTATAGGGAGGATGATAGCTAAAAACTTTAGATGAAAAAGGAGTTAAACTCAATATTCAATAAGGCGTCCTAATTTTGTATTGGGGTTAAGATTATAAAAACTCCTTGTAAGAAATGTATTACAGATAATTTTACAGATTACTGTGAGGAATTGTTGTTGCCTGTTGATAGGTGCAGTTTTAAAACATTTAGGGAAGAATTGTTTTGATATCAGAATTTCAGAACAGCTTTGAGATAAAATTGTAATTTGTTTGGGGTTAGGTATGATCACAAAAGCAAACACAATCTCAATTGGGGCTCAAATGGGTATTAAATAGTAGTATTTCTTTAAATCAAGTTTTTATACATATTTTGTTAGGAATCTGCCTATTTAGTATTTTAATAGGGTATTTGAATGGAGAAATAAAATGGGCTGAGGTTAATTAAGTGGGCTGGGGTCATTTAATGAGTCTGTTTATCTATTTTAGTCCCTTTGCGGACCTACTACTATAAATAGTAAGTTGGGTAGCTAATAATAGGTAGACTATTATTTTGATTCTCGGTTGCCTTGTTGCCTAAGTCCCGGTTGCCTTTGTTGCCTACGGATTATCTTCTTCATCAATAAACATCATTCCTTTATCATCCTATCAGATCTGTGTTTGGTTGTTACTGTTTATGCTCAGATTATACCAGGTTCCTATCAATGGTATCAGAGCACTCCTTCCTGGCGTCTGAATCAATCGATCAACAGCATCAACTGACTGGAGAGATGGAAGAAGACTGGACACCAGAAATGGAGGCTTGCATAGATAAGTTCGAACGGGAGATGAAGACGGCTATGGAAAACATCGTTGCTTCCATGACCGCACAGATGCAGAAGTGCATCGCGGATTCTATGGCAGCGATTTCAGCATCTACCGCAGGGATTTCAGCATCATCGCATCGTCCGGCTTCGAACAGTTCACAGATGCGAACGAAATCTTCCAGTCCATCGCGAAATGCGCAGGTTCAGTCACGAACTTCATCTCTCAGCTCAAAATCGCAGAGTTCGACGCGATCTTGTCCTACCAGTTCGCAGAAGTCTTCTCAGTCAACAACGTCGCTTATTTCTCCCAGTTCGCAGTCGTCCATCCTTTCTACTCGTTCTCAGATTTCATATCAATCGCCAACATCGCCTTCCACTTGGCCAGTCGACTCTCACCTTTCTCCTTACAGTTCATCATCGCAAGTTGACTCCCTCAGGTGTTCGCAGACTTCATCTCCAGCTTTGCACAGTTCCCCATCACCAACAGCGTCATCTCCCAGTTCATTGCGAACTGTTTCTACTCGCAGATCTTCATCTCCCTTGCAATCAGCTTCACAACGAGCCAACTCTCAACATCAACGAAAAAAGGAATCTGAGCGGCTAGCTGCGTTGGAAGGTAATTACGATCACTCTCACTCTAGTATAGGTCAGGATAGCAGAAGAGATATTCGCACAGGAAGTAAGGTTGAATTACCGTGGTTTAATGGGGATAAAGTAGACAAATGGATAGTTAAGATGGAAGAATACTTCCTACTCAAAGCTACTGCGGAAGGAAGGAAAGTTGAAATAGCAGAAGAAGCTATGGAGGAAGAGGCGTTTGACTGGTTTCAATGGTGGCAATTTCAGTCGAGAGAATATAATTGGAAGGCTCTGAAGGAAGCCATAACTAGGCATTTCCAGCCTAGTCTGAAGACAGGGAATCAGTATACACGATCGTTAAGAATTTCTCCCAGTTCGCACTCGCAAACCGTCTGTCCTAGTTCGCAGGGTTCCGCGCCAACATCTGCTCCTAGTTTACAGCCGCGAAAGGCTCTTCTCAGTTCACAAGGTTGGACGCAATCGGCTTCTCCCACTGTGCAAGTCTCCGCATCCAGAACCATCAACCTCGTAGAATCTGGAAAGTGTTTGTCGGTTGCACCATCAGCCCCGGAACTGGAGCAGGACGATGATCCTATGGAACTTACGGAATCTCCACCAAATATTCAGAATAATCTGAACACGCCTATGAAGGAAGACAATGGAATGCGTTCAGGTAAATTCGATCCAACCCAAGTGGATCCTCCTGCTTTATCAAAGCAATTGATGAAGGATAATTCACAGACTAGTGCATTTGAAGGATCAGTTTTCACTAATTCAGATGTCAAATCTGTGAGGGTAGAAAAGGGGAAGGTGATTACTGTTGACAGCTTGTGTGCCAGTGGGAATTTTGCAATTGGTATGAATGAGAATTGTCCTCTAGGACATATGTCTGGATCTGATGTAATAAAGCTTAGGAAGAAGATGGAGGGAATCTTCAGCTCATACACTGATGCTACTGATGAACGTAACTGGAGGTCCTACCGGGAGTCCTTCCAGGCAGCTGTGATTCGAAGGGTTCAACCAGAGCTGGTTGGCTGGGAAATTTCCTCACAATTTACTTCTGAGAACTCTCAGACTGAACCTTATGCGGCACACACTATTCTGGCTGCTATTTGTGAAGAATCTGCTTATCACAATCCATCAGTTCCATCGCTCGGTTTGGATCCTATTAGCTGGAGTCAATCATCACACATTACTTTGGAATGGCTGAACAGGTTTGTAAGCTTCAGAATTGATGACTTCACTTCCATGATGTATACTCAAAATGGGCTGGGAAAAGGATTTAATGGGAACTTTTAAGGAGTTTGGTGGATATGTTAATGAAGTTGATGCTGCCTTGAGTCTGTTGATTGTCAAAGATCTCAATCTTAGTCTCTTTCCATATGACATTACCTCTGGGGAAGAGGTTAGGGGGCTGCATGCAGATTGTTTGTGTGTTCAAGAGGGAACTGGAGTTTTTCACCACCCATCTCAGATGAATATTGCTGGTAAAGGGATCCAGGTACTCCATAAAAGAGATAGGGAGGGGAAAAGGAGTGACAGTGCTCACAAACTTGCTAATAGCAACTGGAGAGAGAATAGTGCTGCTTATGTTGAAGGTCAGGGCCAAGGTTTTGTGAGTGCAGGTGTTGTTTTAGTCTGGAGTGCCTTGGAAAGGAATTTGTTGGAGGATGATCCACAGAAAATTGCATTTCACGAATCAGTTTACATTGATGAGAGAGCAGTTCAAGTTTGGATGGGTGCCCTTAAAAAGGTTATAGTCTGTTTGCTATGTGATCCCTTCAGAGATAAAAACCCTCAGATTCTTTCTATTTTAGGGGAGATACTGCTGAATTATGATGAAGATCTGGGCAATCAAGTTGCTGCGGTTTTCTATGATGTGGCAGCTGAAATTACTACCAGGGCAGCTGGATTTTATCTTGCAGAACCTTTATATGATGATATTGGTTACAAAGAAGAGACTTCAAGTGTAATTCCTGGGAATTTTTATACCCAGTTTCTGCTCCTGTTTGCTGTGAAAGAGTTGATGATGAAAGTGAAGGAAGTGAAGCTCTTAGATCAGAAACCAAGGACCCCAAGGAGGTACTGGGAAGGAAGAGGTTCCAGGATGAAGAGGAAGTTCAAGATCAAGGCTGTGTCTTATTACCCACCTTGAGGGCAAGGTGGTTAATTAGGGGGGGAGTAATGTTAGGAATCTGCCTATTTAGTATTTTAATAGGGTATTTGAATGGAGAAATAAAATGGGCTGAGGTTAATTAAGTGGGCTGGGGTCATTTAATGAGTCTGTTTATCTATTTTAGTCCCTGTGCGGACCTACTACTATAAATAGTAAGTTGGGTAGCTAATAATAGGTAGACTATTATTTTGATTCCCGGTTGCCTTGTTGCCTAAGTCCCGGTTGCCTTTGTTGCCTACGGATTATCTTCTTCATCAATAAACATCATTCCTTTATCATCCTATCAGATCTGTGTTTGGTTGTTACTGTTTGTGCTCAGATTATACCAGGTTCCTATCATATTTCTATAATAGAGACTATGAAACCTAAAAATGCTTAAGCTTTTCAAATGTTTTACTCAAATTTGATTGCCTCATACATTCAAATGTCAAGTTGACCATAGCCAAAATGAAACAAAAAAAATAAGACAGTGAAGCTAGGATACACAAATAAATGCCTCTTTTCCAAAAACACCTTCATATGTTAGATCAATCACAAAACCTTCTTTTCCAAGGAGTATAAGATATAGCTTTTCTAAGCAAATTATAACAGGAAGAAAATTCGCCCAAAGAAAAAAAAAGTAAGGCAGTGCTTGTATCTACCTGATTAGAGTGTTCACTTTCTTAGTCATGATCCCATACATCTTATTGACAGCATTCTTAATCTTCTTTTTGTCAGCCCGGATATCAACAATGAAGACCAATGTGTTGTTATCCTCAATCTTTTTCATAGCGGACTCAGTGGTCAATGGATACTTGAGAATTTGGAAGTGGTCCAACTTGTTCCTAGGAGGAGCACTGATGCGAGGATATTTAGGGTTTCTTTCCTTCTTCAATGTCCTGGGCCTGTGGAATGTGACCTTTGTGCGGATCTTCTTACCTTTCCTCTTGAAGGTAGTGCCTTTCACAGCTTTGGCAACCTTCGCAGCCTGAGCTTTGGGATCAACTCTCTTAGCAGATTCACCTGTCATAATAAGAAGTCAGGTGACTACAGACTACATATGCATGAAAGCCATATTAAATGCTGGGCTAAGATTAAATGAGCAAGAAGTTGCATGATGTTATCATGAGGGTAGTATGTAGGGTCTTTAACAGATTATCTTGTGTGAATTATATTTTCTACCTTAATCACGGGACTGATCTATAAAACATAGTGTAAGAACCGTGTGTACATTGCCATTTTATCAAAACAACATTATTATACGGAGTATTATATTATTAATAAATCAGGTTGTGTCCAATCATTAGCCTATCTGTGATGAAATAGGACTTCAAAAAAATTCACTTCTATATTAACACAAAAAAAGTAAAAATTAAGAATCTGTGAGTCAACTTCATGAACTTCGATTAATTAAAAATGCACCAACCGTAAATTAAAAAATTGCGGGCACGCGGCTCTCTTTAGATGGGGCTCTAGAGAACCAAATTGTTTACAAACACATAAAGTATGCAAATTTACGAAAAGAGAAACTACATTTATTCTTTTGAAACTTCTTGCATAATAAGTGAGAGGCGGAAACAAGCTAGGCAGATGAATCATTTCTACTCGATGATTATAAAAAAGAAAGACACGAAACAACAAATTCCTTCGAAACAACAAATTCCTTCGAACTATGCGTACCTTTCGGGGCCATTGGTGCTGTGAATCACGGAGACTACCTAATGGAAACATAAAAGCAGCAAATCGGCGTCAGATGAAAAACCTAAACACTGACGAAAAGCACAGATCTTGAACTGTCCAAATTTAAATACAGCGGGGAATGCTCATATGTATGTATGTTAAGCGTAAAAGTTAGAGGTCTGGATGAAATACTGCGAACAACACAGAGTGAACTCACCTTGAAGATGACGAAGACGAGGCGATGGATTGCCACTGCCAGAAAGGGTTTTGGTTTTGGACTGAAAAAATATGCAATCGTTGGGGTTATGTTCTTGGACCGTGAAATGACTAAATGGGCTTCCCTATTCCATTATCGTGGTCATATTGCTTCGGTTTAATTGAACTCGGTTTATTTTATTTTGGATTTGGTAATATTTTTTTCAAATTTTATCCGATCAAATTGAATCGAAATCAAATAAAAATCGGGATAAGGGTCAGTTTAGTCCTCGAAGTTGAAAAAAGAAGTCAAATAAGTCTTTATATAGAAGATTCTGCCCGGAAGTGTCATTAAAGGTGGCTCTCGGTGGAATTTTTTGATGAAATTTTTTGAGCATCTTATTAATTAAGTCTAGTTTACTCATATCAAATTTCAGATAAAAATTCAATCGGGAAGACATTGAAATGAATTCTTGAAGATAATTGCTCAAAAAATTTCATCAAAAAATTCCACCGGGAAGAGGCCCAAACGTCGAGGTCCGTACGGAGGTCCGTTTCAGGATGGTCCTGACAGGAAGACTACTCTGGTAACTAATCATTTAACTTCATTATGTTATCAATCTAAATAATAATACTCCCTCCGTTCTTTTTATTAGTCCTCTTAGGGTTTGACACGGGTTTTAATAATAAAGTAGTAGGGTAAGTATAGAGTGTGTAGGGTAAATGATAAAGTAGGAAAAATGATATATTAAAAAGAGTAAAGTGATGATAAAGTAGGAAAAAGAGTGTATTAAGAAGAGTAAAGTGATGATAAAGTAGGAAGGAGAAAGTAGTTTGTAAATAGTAAGTGGGGTAAAAGTAATAAAAGTGGGGGTATTTTCTCAAAAACTTTCCTTAAAGGGAAAGGAGGACAAATAAAAAAAACGTCCCAAAAAAGAAAGAATGACTAATAAAAAAAGAACGGGGGGAGTAATATTTAGTTTTTTTTTACTCCAGGGGGGGGGGTTTCGGGGAGGAGTTGGGGAGACCTGGAGTAATCAGGACTGAAACTCATTCCATTGAGTTTTTATCCCTTGTGTGCCTAGCGGGATTCGAAATCGAGACCTCCCACTAGGCACGATAACCTCACAACCAGATGAGCTGGAATGCTTGATTGAAGTAATATTTAGGTATATATATACAAACATATATAGTTTTTATTTTAATTTACAACTTCATTTCTTTATATACGTGGCTAAAGTTAAAGTACTTGTATCGTTAAAAAATTAAAATTTAAAAGTAAAGTAATGTTCGGGGGATCTAGACGGCCTAGGCGGCTAATACAGCGCTCTGGGCGGGAAATTAGGCGCCATATGCGGCCGACTAATTCACCTAGACGGAAAACCAATTAGTCGGAGCGCTTAGACAAAAATCGGGGTGCCCAACCACCGCCTAGCGCCTAGACGGGGACTAGAAAGACGCCTAGAACGATTTTTAGAACAGAGATCACGCATGTTTCGAGGGAAGTACGGCGTGAATTTAATTCATTACCAAACACTCCTTAAACAGTGTACGGCTATGGTTTATAAGGTAGTCCAATACGAGCGAGAAATACATCAATTACATAGTATGATTTGATTTTTAATATACATTCTAACTAAATGATAGCACACAATACATATATTATTTTCAACAAAATGAATATAGAATACTAATATTATTTGATTCATATGTATTCTATAAACAATGTTAGGAAAGTAAATATTGTTTGGATTAAAACTATTGGCGGCTTTGAAGACCGTTATTTGTGTTATTATACGTGATTTGTATTCGAGAGTAATTTAATTTGTAAACATGATTTAAAGTACAAAAAATGTAATGAAAGTTTTTTTAAACTAACCTATTCGAATTGGACCTCTACCAAAAACTTGACTCGGGCCTAATATAATGCTCCATCCGTTCCAAAAAATTACTTCTCATTTGACTTGGCATGCATATTAAAAGAGAGAATAAAGCTGAAATGTATGGTTGTTATTGAGTACAGAAGGGTAAATGAATTAGCCACACAAGTCATTTCATAAAAATAACTGAAAATGTTTTTTAGGACACTCCAAACAGTTACTGGGAATTTTTTGGGGGCGGAAGTAGTAGACTTTTTTCAGTTTTAGATTTTCTAAAATGTGCACTGAAAATTTTTCGAGCTAGTCGAGCCGCTGTCAAGGTTATGAGGAGGAGGAATATTAGCATTGTGTATTTTTATTTATGTGTGTGCAAGAAATTAAGTGGGTTGGAGAAAAGGAATGTGAGATTAAACAATGAGGTTTAAATTGTGATTTTCAGGGAGAGAGAGGAACAAAAATGAAGTAGACATTATTGTGGTGTGTGACTTTGTTGAAGGTGTGATGAAAGTCTTTAGGAAGAGCAATTGAATCATGATCGAGCATTAAATTGGTAATAGGTTATGATATAATGTCCATAGTAAGTTCCTATGCACCACAAGTGAAAATGTGAGATTTGATGCATATATCACTTAACCATTTTGGGAAGATCTTGAGGAAGTAGTGTCACTACCGCCATATACAGGTAGAGAAGTTGATCATATGAGGCAACCTCAACAGGCATGTGGGCCCAAGTGGTGTAATTTTTACAGTATCCATGGTGGCCGTATCCATGGTGGACGTATCCATGGTGGACATGATTTTGGCACTTGAAATGAAGCCGAAAAGAACATTCAACTTTTTGCCTCGACACCCGAGTTAACAATATTTTCCATCATTTCAATGGAGCCAAAGATTCATTATTTTTTGGCTTGAAAATATGATGGAATAAAGCAAAATGGCTCACTAAACTGTCTGTGATTCTTTGTTATGAAGCAACAGTCAGTCCATGCAATTTTGGACACGATTTCACTATGGGTCATCCGGAAATAGTCTCTCTGTGCTTTAGTACATGGGTAAGACTGCTTACATCCAACCCCCCATTGCCCCACCATAGGTGGGAGCCTTTGCGGCACTGGGGTAAATGAAAATGAAAATGAATGATCTGAGTTAACAATAATGAACATTTTATTCAAGAAAAGAGGCTCTCACCTTGTGACATATAGAATGGAGCTAATAATACCCGAATTGATTATTATTTTTGAATGTATTACTTTGAAAACTAACTACATTGATTGTAAGGTTATCCCACATGAGATTGTTGTCACTCAAAATAAAACGTTTGTGCTTGATTTTCAAGGTAAGAAGCATACAAGGCAGGTTAAGGAACTAATGTAGCGAAAGATAAAGTGGTGGAGGGTTGAGGAGGGACTCTAAGAAAGCTTCACACACGAAAGGTTTCTTCTTCTTCTTCTTCTCCTCCTCCTCCTCCTCCTCCTCCTCCTCCTCCTCCTCCTCCTCCTCCTCTTCTTCTTCTTTTCTAATTTTGGTCTTGATTTTTTTTGCTAATTTCGAACTTCTATTTCATATTTTCACAAGGCCACCAGGTACTCTGCAAATTTTTTGAAAAAACCGATCCAAAACAAAACTTGCCAACACTAGACAATACATAGACAGTAAGTAGTCAGTAAACAGACAATAAGTTCTAATAATATCTCAATAGCAGACAATACATAGATAGTAAAGTAGTCATTAAGTAGTCATTAAACATTTCCACATTAAAAAACATGGCTTATAACAGCTATATATGGCATTACTTTGAGTTCAATGTTGGAATCAAGAGTATTTTACGTAAAAATAAAATATTAGTTATGCCAATTTCAAATTCAAAACTCATTACATAAATTTTTTCAGATTCAAAAATCATTACATAAATATTTTCAAATCACAAAAGCTTAGAAAAAAATAATTTCATTTTCAAAACAAAAAAAATTGAAATGAATGAAAAATTAGATCTAAAACTTTGAGATAACCGATCATTGCAGTATCTCATTTTTCGAATCCTAAAAATTCAGATCTGAAATAGAAATTTTCATTCTAAATCTCAAAATTGAACAAATAAAATCAAGAGAAGAAGACAAAAGAGGAGGAGGGAGAAGAAGTTGGAGTAGAGAAGAAGATGGGGAAGAAGAAGAAGAAGAAGAAGAAGAAGAAGAAGAAGAAAAGGAGAAGAAATCTCACCTAGGCGTCCAGCTCCGCCACCGCACAGTCGCCTAGCTCCGCCGCCGTACAGTCCGGTGTGCCCGCCTCTGTTTTCTGACCGGGATGTGCGCCACCTCCGATGAAAACTTTAAGGGAACGACACATGAAGGAGTTGATCGAGGCAGATGCCCTTCCAATTTGAAAAGGAGAGAAACATCTAGCAGATAAGATAAGTGAAGGATATAAATGGAAGACAAGAATAAAGGCTCTGTTTGCAACCACTTGTGCTTAAATAAAAGTACTTTTGGGGAAAAAGTGATTAGTAGTAAAAGTTGATAGTGTTTGGTAAAATAAGTGCTTTTTGTGTAATAGAAAAAGTAAAAAGTAGATTCTACACGAAAATCGAGGTAGTAAAAATTGGTAGTGTTTGGAAAAATAAGTGCTTTTTTCTTTAAAAAAGCTAAAATCACTTTTTTTAATTGGTTGCAAACAAGCCCAAAGTCTTCTTAAACAGTACTAAATAGATCCTACGCATGTAAAAAATAAAACTCAATCCTACTTTTGTAAAGTTGCTTTGATTTAATCCCACCCAGAGCAATTTTCTCATTATCGATTAATTCTTGTTTACCAATCTAAAAAATTCATGTTAAACACATCCCATCAAAAATTCCGTGTTATGCTCAGGCTGAGAAGGCTAAGAAATGGCGTGAGAGACGTCGCATGACACTCCTTTCAGTTCCACTGCGCAGTGAGACCAATGGAACAACTCCCCGCCTTTCTCATCTTACCCAATCAGAACTGGTCCGCCATTGCAGGATGACTTCCCCTTACTCACAAAACCCTAGACCTTTCCATCTCAATGTCGCCCACACTCAAGCAAATCGTCGCCTTAACTTTCCTTCCCAGCTTCCTACTCTACCTCATATTCCTCCTTCCTCTCCGCCCCCGCAGCCACTTCCGCGCATCGACCGCCGCCCCTCTGCGCATCCCATTTCATCCGCCTCCGAGAATAGCCTACTTTATCTCCGGGACCAACAATGACGGCCCAAGGATCTTTAGGCTGATCCAAGCCGCCTACCATCCGGTGAACTACTATTTGATCCATCTTGACCAGGCGGCGTCCGGGAAACAACGGGAGCAGCTTGCGCTGTTGGTGGATTCTGTGCAGGTTTTCTCTGCCGCTGACAATGTTAAGGTTGTTGGGAAGGTTGATGCTGTGAATGGAGACGGATCTTCGCCTCTGGCGTGTGTGCTTCATGGTGCTGCTGTTTTGCTCCGGTGGCGGAATGATTGGGATTGGTTCGTTAATCTGGATGCCTCTGATTATCCCCTAATACCCCAAGATGGTATGTTTTTTTTTGCATTACTATGCATTTGAGGAGGTCAAGCTCTTTCACTCACATACTCCCTACAAAAGAAAGCAATGTAGTTATTCAAGCTCAAAGTCTCTTAACTGAAATTTTTACATGTTGCAAATGTGGAACTCATTCAACAAATTAGCATAGCTTAGTTAAACTCTATTGCTGAAAAATATCAAAACAAGGATCAAGCCAACTGCCTCAATAATCGAATAAGTAAATCATAAACTAGCCGATAGCACTATTTTGAAGAATTGACTCATACAACCAGCCAATCACACAATGCCTTGATCCCGGATACTTGGGATTGACTACATGAAAATATGAAATAATGAATCATAGAAAATATCATGAGGACATGCACATTGCCACATTAATTAAATCATATTTGGCTAAATCTGCTAACGAATCAAAGGAAGGTCTTCATCTTCGATAATAGCCGCAGTAAATATTTCACATATTCACTACCACTGCAAGATATTACAGAATGATCAGCTAACTCATAAACCCCTGTTTAAAAAAGGGGTTTCTGTTTGGTCAAGGTACAACTTTGTAGTTCTTGCCAAAGGTACAACTCTTAAAAGATATGGAATCTTACCTATATTAAAGTATACTTTCTTGGCATAGATATGTTAATATATTATACCGTATTTGTTTCTAACATGTTTGACAAACTACTTGAAAATATTAGCTTAACATAATGAAATATGTCTTTTTTGGACAAAAGAACTTCTGAATCATGACCGCTTTTTGGCACTGAGGGTGTAGTTATTTCACTATAAGTAATTCATATGTCTTCATCCTACATTGATATTGGAACTCAAAAAAGTTTTAAATTTTCATGTGTGGTTCACAATACTTGTTTGCAGATTTTCTCCATGCCATGTCTCTTGTTCCGAGGAGTTACAACTTCATGGGGCGTATTATAAACACCAGCTCACTTGAGTAAGCAGCTTCGTCCCTAGCATTGATTTTTATTGTATTTTCTGTTAAAATATTTGTTGAATGTTCTAATTATATGATCTAAACTCATCTCAGCTCTCAAATGATTATGGATATTATTGTTGATCCTCGCCTCTACCTTCTTACAAAGGGGAAAATGTTTACAGGCAACAAAAAACGTGAACTGCCAGATGCTTTTAAATTATTTATGGGTAAGGTCCTAATCATTTAATACCAGCTCAGCTTAAATTATGTTAAGGAGTAGGTACTGTCAAATACAAGCAACATTGGAAAGACTGCTAAAGACACTCTATTCTAATTTTAACCACACACACACCTATATGGTATCCTCATTGTGTATAAGTTCCAAGTGATTATAAGCTTTTAACATAAAAATCTGTTACCTGATTTCTCTTTCATCATTGTTATCTATAACTCACTTATTTCAGTCAACTCTATTTTGGTACTTCTGACAAGAGAGATACACTAGTGGTCAAATGAGAGAGAGATACACTATTGGTCAAATGAGATACACAAATAACAGTCCAAAACTTAAAGAATAGCGTCAGAGTCTTCATTTCTCTGGAACAAAAGCCCTTTCATTGAAATTTTAAAAACTTGACATAGCGAGAGAGAGATAGCTTAACACTTAACAAGATAGTATTCACATTTTTTGGTCCCAAATTGTGCTGCCATGATCAGTGAGAATTCTTCATGTTTTGATTTGGTATGTTTATCTAGAGAAGTGGAATAGTGTGGTTGAAATTAATGTAAAAAGAAATAATAAAAAGTCAACCACAAAATCCTTTCCTTGAAAGATACATGATGATCATTTTGGATGAAAGGATTTGTTTTGTAATTTTGTATAGCAAGTACTACACTACTACATATATCTTTATTTGCAGTTCCAGAGCTTTTTTATATAAAATATTGTGCATCCCCACAAAAAATGTCTTTTTTTTTTGTCAAAATTCAGCTATTCAGAAACTCTTTCTGTTTTTCTTGTACGCCCTCTACTAAATCGAGTTATTGAAATCTTGCAATGTCCAACCTTTGTTACTTGTTAAGGGCATTATGATGATTTAATTTCATTTGGGTGAGATAACCTTTCTTTGCAAAATATCAGGTTCTCCAAATGTTATTCTCAGTCGAAAGTTTATCGAATATGTAATTCAAGGATGGGAAAATCTGCCAAGAACGCTCCTATTATACTTCTCAAACACCAGGTCTCCTCATAAAGGTTATTTCCAAACGCTTGCTTGCAATTCCGAGGAATTTTCAAGCACTGTCATAAACTCTAACATGCGTTCTACTGGTGTGGAGAACACATATCAAATCGACCACACAAATTCCATAGTTTTAGATCTTAATGCAATACAGGGAGTTGCTGCTTTTGCTGAAAATGTTTCTGGAGACAGCAAATTATTGGATGTCATTGATTCACAAATACTTCAACGTGGTCAAAGGATGGTCTCACCCGGGGGATGGTGTGTAGGTTGGTCAGATTGGGGCCGGGATCCTTGCCTTCAATGGGGGGATCCTCTGATTCTCAGACCAGGGCATGCTGCAGAAAGATTTGGGAAATATCTATTGAATTTGATTGGCAACGGGACAATTAGGTCAGAGAGATGTGATCAATAGTTAATCTTCGGTTCCCATGCTAGCTCTCTATTTTGTCTTGTTTTTCTACCATTTTCTTTTATCGTTAACCTTTTGATTTACCAGAGTATACTGTTATCTGTTGGGTTTGGCACAAGTAGCATGGCTCACAAGATCATGGAAATTGTAGATAAGTTATGGCCTATAGTAGTAACACGTTTTAACGGCTGACATTTCTCTCCCATTTTTTCCAAGTATAAAAGTTGTACTCCCTGCACTCTTCAGTTTCATTTTTGCATTAAGTTGGAAATCAGAAGACTCTACTGTCATTAGCTTTGTATGCTGCGGTATTATGCTGTAGATTTCTGTGGGGTATTATGAAAACCTTATTAATCTTGTTAGCTTGTTCGCTGGGGTTGTGGCGGGGAGGTGAAAATGTAAAATCAGACTATCTCTGGTTGACTTCACTGCACAGGCGCAGACTTATTATCAAACACATTACCAGTTGCCACCAGTGGATGGCTGCCGGACAATCAGTAGTAAACCCTAAGTAGGGATCCTAAATGCTCAAGTCCAAATCCAAAATGCTAAAGACCTAGAATGTTTTTAATTGAATTGATTTGGGAAATATAAATACATGTAGAATAGTCATCTATTCTGTTTGATCAATCGAGACCAAACTAGATTAGATTTAAATAGACTCTCGATTAGTCTAGTCCAAACTAGAAAATTAAAGTTCAATTTAAAACATCTCTAAAACTCAAAGATCTTTTAACTTATCTAAATTGAGGATTATAGATGCCCTATTTAGGCAATAAAATGGACTCTGCATGTTCTCATCTCAGCCAAGCTTGTAGCTCCAATTAGGAGAGTTTGTTTTTAAATGATATTTACTTTTTATATTTCAACTCATTTTATAAATAGAAAAGTTACAAATATATCCCGGTTGCATGGGTGTGAGAATATATATACCCCTGTTCTATTTTTCGGAACAAATATGTTGGAAAAATGTGTGAAAAATTGCATTAAATGGCTATTTTGGGACAATTTTTTGAGTGGGGTCTACTTCCGATTTGGGTCGGGTCAAAGTGGTTTCGGATTGTCCTTGTTAAGGGCTACAATTCGATATATGGTACGCTCAAAACGGATAACGGGTGAATGAGAAATCGCTTTTCGAAGTTTACCCGTTAGAATGGAAAAACTGGGAAAAAGGATGGGTTTCTAGTGTGTTAATTTCCCACACCGGAAAACCCAAGGGATTTGCAACCCTTTATAAAGGGACTCTCCCCTTAAGGAGTTAAGATTCCTTAGGGTAGAGGCTCTCTCCACGCGCGCAGGGGGGGGTGCAAATCAAATCCCGAAATCGGAGAAGAAAAATCGCGACTTGCGTGCGCGGGCGACCTGCGGACACGAATGTCGTCCAAAAATCTATCTCTCAAGAGATACGATTAATTTTTGTTTTCTTCCCGAAACGTTTAATTTTTTCCCAGCGGCAGAAGTGCTCAGATCAGAACACCTCGATGGTCTTCTGATGGCAGAACCCCTCTCGTTGGTATTCTGATGGCCACCCATCAGAGTTGGGGGTACTCTGATGGCCGCCCATCAGAGTTGGGGGTACTCTGATGGCCGCGGATCAGAGTTGGCCTCCGATCAGAACCCCTCCCGGGGAGTTCTGATGGAGGTCTTCTCTCGCACTTCTGAAACGTTACAACAATTAATGCCCAACGTTCTTGTCTTTTAATGCAGCGTTAAATGGACAGTTCATGGACGATTCAATGCCCAACGGACTGGTCATTGATGTCCAACGTTCAGGTCCATTAATTCACTATTTTCATACAACAAATCCTCCTATATAATGGCTGGCAGGTGGTTTGCAACAACACACGTTCTTACACGATTTTACACGAATCCATACACGTTTTTAGCTCTAAAAACACACTGCTAGCACTCTGAAAATTCCTTCTGTGTTCAGTCTTTGTTCTCGTTCGCTGGAACTTTTGTTTGAGTGCTCAAACACTAGTTCGTTGTCATCGTATCCTGGGAAACGATTGTTGCAACGCTCCTAGCACCGTGGGAGGCAACAAATACGTTTTAAGGACATCGTGCGTAGCACGAGCTTTGACTAATTCTGCTTCATCTCCTTTCTTGTTTTTCTCTAGTCATTTTATTTAATTAATTTATTTTAATTAATTTTCTTTATTTTCCGAAACACACCCAACAATCTTAAAACGTATTTTGTTGCTAAGTTTGTATCATACGGATACATTCTTCAACTGTAGTTTGTCACTTCTATGAACGAACTTAAATCTTTTTGTGTTTTCGGAAAAACGTTAAGAAAACGAAAATGACTTCTCAAGAAAACGAGATTGGTGTCGGGCAGAATGTTCTGAATGACAATCACTCTGAAAGCGGAGCTCCGGTGAACAATAGTTCACAACGCGGAGCATCTGCTTTGAACCAAAGGGCTATCCCTATGGTGACTGTGCCAAGCAACTCTGTGGAGAAACCCGAGAAATTCAATGGGTTAAACTTCAAGAGGTGGCAGCAAAAGATGCTATTTTATCTCACTACTCTCGGTCTTGCACGTTTCTTGACCGAGGACGCGCCGGTTGTAACCGGGAGTGAGGTAGATGTGCAATCTCTCAACGCGGTTGAGGCTTGGAAGCATTCTGACTTCCTTTGCCGAAACTATGTGTTGAACGGGCTGCATGATGCTTTGTACGACGTATATAGCAAATTAGCTACGGCTAAGGAGCTATGGAATGCTTTGGACCACAAATATAAAAGCGAGGATGCCGGCGCAAAGAAATTTGTTGTTGGTCGATTCCTTGATTTTAAAATGGTGGATTCGAAGACGGTCCTGAGTCAAGTTGAGGAGATGCAAATGATCTTCAACGAAATTCGAGATGAAGGAATGACGGTTAGCGAGTCTTTCCAAGTGGCGTCAATTATACATTTGTTGCCGCCGGCTTGGAAGGATTTCAAAAACTACCTTAAGCATAAGCGAAAGGAAATGAACTTGGAACAATTGATCCTCCGTCTGCGGATTGAAGAGGATAACCGGAAGAATGATGGGAAACTCCCAACCGTTCATGGCGCCAAGGCCAACGTGGTGGAGCATGCAAAAAGCTCCAAAAATAAAAATAATGGGAAGAGCAAGCTCGGTCCCAAGGGAGGCGTTTCCAAGACAAAGTTCAATGGAAAATGCTTCAATTGCAATAAAAATGGACACAAGTCCTCGGATTGCAAGGCACCAAAGAGGAAGAAAGATTCTCACGTCAACTTGGTGCAAGGTAGGCAAAAGGATGAAGACATCATCCTAGCGGCCGTGGTGACGGAAGTCAACCTCGTTGGATCCAATTCCAAGGAGTGGTTCGTGGACACCGGTGCAACCCGGCACATTTGCTCAAACCGGGAGTTATTCACTACTTTTGAGCCATCAAATGGTGAGAAAGTGTGGATGGGAAACTCAGCCCATTCCGAGGTGGAAGGCGTGGGCAAGGTGGTCCTGAAGATGACTTCGGGCAAGGAGCTGACTCTTAACCAAGTGCTGTTCGTTCCGGAAATACGCAAAAACCTGATTTCCGGTTCGTTGTTGAACAAACATGGCTTCCGCATGGTTTTTGAGTCGGACAAATTAGTTTTGTCCAAGTCGGGAATGTATGTGGGCAAGGGATATGCATGTGACGGGCTGTTTAAGCTCAATGTAACGACTATTATTATTAATAATAATAAAATCCCTTCTGCTTACTTGCTTGAGTCTTCCAATGTGTGGCATGGTAGACTAGGACATGTTAATTTTAATTCTATACGTAGATTAATTAACATGGAACACATTCCTAAATTCACAATTGATGTGAAGCACAAATGTGATATTTGTGTTGAGGCAAAACTAACGAAAACGTCTTTCAAATCGGTTGAAAGAAAAACGGAACCACTAGAATTAATTCATAGTGACGTTTGTGATTTTAAATCAATACAAACACGTGGCGGTAATAAATATTTTATTACTTTTATCGATGATAGCACTCGCTATAGCTATGTTTATTTGTTGAAAAATAAACACGAAGCAATCGATAAATTCATTCTTTATAAGAATGAAGTGGAAAACCAACTTAATCGACGGATTAAAACGGTTAGAAGTGATCGAGGTGGTGAGTATGAAGCACCAATTGGTGACTTTTGCGCTAGTGTGGGTATAGTACACGAACGTACCGCACCCTATTCACCTCAATCAAACGGTGTTGCCGAACGAAAGAATCGCACATTGAAAGATATGATGAATGCGATGCTAGTAAGTTCGGGCCTGCCACAAAATATGTGGGGTGAAGCAATCTTGACAAGCAATTACCTTTTAAATAAGGTTCCCCGGAAAATTTTTGATAAAACTCCATACGAGTTGTGGAAAGGCAGACGGCCTTCCTATCAATATTTAAAAGTGTGGGGGTGTCTTGCTAAGGTGCTTGTACCAACACCTAAGAAAATAAAAATAGGTCCAAAAACGGTGGATTGTATTTTTATTGGATATGCACAAAATAGTAGTGCTTATCGGTTTTTAGTGTACGATTCGAATAATCCGGATGTACATAAAAACACAATAATTGAGTCAAGGAATGCATCATTCTTTGAAGACGTATTTCCATGCAAGTCCAACGATGGACCTAGCACGTCAAAACGAACATTTGACGTAGCTATGGAAAATACTAGCGAGGGATCCGGTGAAGAAGCCGAACCCCGACGTAGCAAACGTGCTAGAGTTGAAAAATCCTTCGGACCGGATTTTCTCACATACTTGGTAGAATTCGATTCGAATATTCTAACTTGTATGGTAGAAAATGAACCGGATTTTCTAACATGTTTGGTAGAAAATGAGCCACGGACTTATACGGAAGCCGTAACGTCTACCGAAGGACCAATGTGGAAAGAAGCCATCAAAAGTGAGGTGGATTCTATCCTAAAAAATCACACATGGGAATTGGTTGATCTCCCTCCGGGATGTAAACCTTTGGGATCCAAGTGGATTTTTAAACGTAAAATGAAACCGGACGGTTCCATTGATAAGTATAAGGCCAGACTTGTAATAAAGGGATACAAGCAACGTGAAGGCCATGATTACTTTGACACGTATTCTCCTGTGACGAGAATAAATTCCATTAGGATGATACTAGCAATTGCCGCTTTGCGGAATTTGGAAGTTCATCAAATGGACGTAAAAACCGCTTTTCTAAACGGCGATATAGACGAAGAAATCTATATGGAACAACCTGAGGGTTTTCGTGTTCCAGGCCAAGAAAAGAAGGTTTGTAAATTAATTAAATCATTGTACGGATTGAAACAAGCCCCTAAACA